GCTGGACATGAGAAGAGGCCAGGCTGAGGCTGGCAACCTCCCCAAGAACAGACCTTGATGTCCCCAGGCACTCTTGAAGATACCCCACCCCAACCCCCGCCCTCAAATTTAACATGCAGGTCCCTGGGAACCTTCCATACTGTGAAGGCTGCTCCCGAAATTTTCCCGAGGGGCTGGGAGTGGACACCGGGGAGGGAATGCTGGGTCACGTGGGCTCCACAGCTCCTTCCACACAAAACTCTGGGGGGGGGGGGGCTGTTCAATATCCTAGGTGCCAGGCCTCCCAGATCTGGGATGGGGCTGTGTCTAGCTATGGAAGGAACTGTTCTAACAAGAACTCAGGTGATTCTGATCCTCAGGGAAGTTAGGAAACACCAGGTTGGTAAGGCAGCACTGTCAGGCATCTGACCTTTTGGCGTCTCTGGGCCACACATTAAATACACAAACACAAATGATAACTGATGAGCAAAAAAAAAGGCTTTAAGTAAACCTACAATTTTGTGTTGGGCTGCATTCATAGCCATCCTGGGCTGCATGCAGCCTGTGGGCTGGACACCCCTGAAGACATCCCGGGTGGTCCTTCCAGAAGAACTGTGCTGGCCTGCCTGTAGCGTAGCCTCTCACTCAGGACTAGACTGTGTGCAAGGCAGTGGGCAGGGGAGACCTCACCGTCCCCAACACCCGAGGACTCCCGAGCAGGCACATCACAGTGCTTGGCCAGGCCCCTCGGGACTACAGCTGTCCCTTGGTCAGGACAAGGGTGGAGGATATACCCTAAGGGCATAGCTTCGGGCACCGCATATCCCCTTTCTCCTGGTGGTCACATCTTGTATGATATACCCCCTCCGTAAGTATTCCTGATCTTGGGAAGAAAGTACCCAGTCTTGCACCATTCAGTGTGATGTCAGCTGTGGGTTCATTGTAGATGTTCTTTATCAGGTCAAGTAACTTCCCTTCTATTCCTAGGGCAGTTTTATCTAAAACTTTTTCTGCACATACTGAGGATGATCATGTGTGTGTTTTAACTTCTATTGATGTGGTATATTATCTTAATTCTCAGATGTGAAACCAACCTTGCATTCCTGGGATAAAGCCCATTTGTATGTTGATAGATTTGGTTTGATAGTAGTTCTTGAGGATTTTTGTATCCATACTCCTAAGAGGTATCAGTCTGCAGTTTTCTATGCTTATTTTTGTCTGGTTTTGGTATAAGGTAACACTGACCTCATTAAACGAGAGTTCCATCTCCTATTTTTAGGAAGGGTTTGTGAAGAATTGGCATTGTCTTTAAAAGTTTTGTCCAATAGAGGAGCCAAGTCACCCAGATGGATGGTTTTTGGTTATCAAGTATCTGCACTTGGTTCAGGTCTATGCAGATCATTTGTTTCTTGAGTCAGGCTTTCTAGTCTTTCTAGAATTTTTTCCATTTCCTCTACCTTATCTAATTTATTGGCATACAATTATTCACGGTATTGCTTTATAATTTATTTTTTATTTTTAAGGTTGGTAGTAATGTTCCTTCATTCCGAGTCTAGTAATTGAGTTTTTTTTTTCCTTGGTCAACCCAGAAAACAAAAGTTTGGTCAGTTTTGTTGATCTTTCCAAAGAACAAGTTGTTGCTTTCGTTAATTTTCTCTATTGGTTTTCTATTATCTAGTTCACTGTGTTCAGTCTTTTTATTATTTTCTTGCTTTTGCTTGTTTTAGGTTTAGTTTGCTCTTCGTTTTCTAGTATCTTTAGGTGGAAAAGTTAAGTTATTGACGTCTTTCTTAATATAGGCACATATTTCATAAGGTTTTTTATGTTGTCTTCACTTTAAGAAAATTTTTAGTTTTCCTTTTCCATTACCATTTAGACCCCTTATACCCCCTGCCCCTGCAGTCACCACCCTGCCGTCCATGATGAGTCCTGTTCTCCTCGATCCCTCATTTTCATTCCGCTCAAAGTATATTCTGATCTCCCTGTTGATCTCTTAATTCATTGGCTATTTAGGTACATGTTGCTCAATTTCCACATATTTCTTGGCTTCTCATATTTTTTTCTGATTCCCAATTTTATTCCATGTGGTGGGGAATGTACTTGTGTTATTTTTATAAAATCTATTCAGGTTTCATTGCTTAGCATATGGTCTAGCCTAGAAAAGGTACACGTGTACCTGATAAAAATGGGTGTTACACTGTTTTGGGAGTGCACTGTTTCACAGATGTCTGCTGGGTCTAGCTGGTTTACGGTGTCGTTTAGGTTCTCTTATTTCCTTATTGATTTCCTACCAAGTTTTTTAAATTTTAAATTACAGTTTACCTTTGATATTATTGTGTATGGGTTTCAAATATGCTTGTGCCCAGTGATGCTATCCATTATAGACAGTGGGGCATTGAAGTCTCCAATTACCGTCCCTTCATTTCAGTCAGTTTTTGCTGCATGTATTTTGGTGTTGTATAGTTAGATATGTAGGTACAATTATTAGGTCATCCAGATCGCTCCTTTTATCATTATAAAATGTGCATATAGTTTGGTCTTTTATATACATAGGACAGTCTTTGCCCTTTGAATGAGTTAATATGCCATTCACATTTAATGTTATCACTGATACACTAGACTTGCCTCTGCCGTTTTGCTGTTTCCTGTCCCTCATGTCTTTGGGCCTCTAATACTCCTTCACCACTGTCTTTGGCAGTAAGTGAATATTTTCTAATGAAGCATTTGGATTTCTTGAGTGATATTTTCTGAGCTGTTTTTTAGAAGCTGTTTTAGGGCTTACTATATACATCTTACCAGAATCAGAGGTACGAGCTTAATTCCAGTGAAATAGAAATGTTACTCCTACATACCTCTATCCCATTTCCTCCTTTTTATGGTATTACTATGCATATTGCATCTATTGTTACAAACCCAACAGTATGTTTGTTATTATTACTTTATAACCTGTAAGTTAGCTCAATACAGCTCTGCTCTCACCTTCCTTTGTGCTGTTATTAGCAAAAATATTCCACACACATTCCTACATGTATACAACCAATAATACGTAAATCAGTTAAGGCAAAAAATGCATTCATATAGTCTTTTAATTACCTTTATCTTTACCAGTGCTGTTTGTTTTTTTAATGTGAATTCAAGTAACCACCTGAGGTCACCTGTTTTCAGCCTGAAGAACTTCAGTATTTCTGGTAATGCAGATCAGCTGGCAGCATATTCACTGTTTTCACCTAGAAATATATTACGCCTCCCCTTTTAGAACCATAGCACTGCTGAATATACAATTCTTAGTTCAAAGTATTTTTGAGTTTTTTTGAGTGTGTTATCCCACTGCCTTCTGGCTCCCATTATTGTTGCTAAGAATTCAGCTGTCGATTTATTGGAGTTCCCTTGTTAGTGACAAGTTGTTTCTCTCGTGAGACCCAGGTATCTTTGAGTGACACCCCTACTTTGTGAGCCGAGCACTCCTAACGTGGAGTGGGGGGCGGTAGCCAGAGGTCTTTTCAGTTTGCATCTCCTGGCGTGGAACCACCAACTTCCAGAGCTGGGCAAGGACAGCGAGGGCCCCTGTATTCTCGGTGGCATTTCATCCAGGTCGCAGAGGCTGCATCCCATGAGTGGAGGCTGGGTGGAAGAGAGCTCTGGGAGATCAGTCTTGGTTCAAGTAACAGACTCTTGCCTTTCTTCCTGAACTTTTGTGCATAGATCTTCTTTGTACTTGCTGTATGCCCTTCAGGACCATTTCCAAAGGCTTTAAGTGGTCGGTTTTTCTAACTAATTTTCACCAGTTTTACTGGCTAGCATGCCCACAGAGCTTTCAGTCTGTTGTGATCTTCTTCCCCTACTTTTTAATGTGAACATAAATGCTAAACATTGCTCGTCATTGAACTTGTGCAACAGCAGCTTATAGGTTGCCTGCCTTCCCCTGCTCTCCCTCTGGAGCCGCTGCAGCGTCTGGGCACACACCTGGAGGTCCAGCTCACTGCTGCTGGGACTGGCAGTGGGCGGCAGTGTATCTGAACACCCTCCTCCTGTCAAAGCTTCATCTGGTCCCTCATGGTTCATTTTCCATTTCTGCTTTTAGTGGTATCTGTAATGAACCATCACGACATTTGGGCCTGTCAGTCACCTGGAATGTGGGGAATAAGGTACCCTATACTTAGCTGGCACTTAGAACGAATAATACTCTCTCAGTTTCTATTTTGCACTGCCCTTGGAAAACTCCACAGGGTTTTTCCTAAACATCTCACAGTCTCATGTAAATAGGGTCCCTTGGTCAATTCTGAAAGGCAGAGCTGGATGCAAGGAACCTGGGGCAGCGAGCACCCAAGCCTTCGAACCTGGCGTGAAGTCTGACCCACCTGCTCTACCTACAGGAGCTAAGTGTGGGGCGCAGAGGGGCACCCACGCACCCACCTGCGAGCAGGACCGCTGCGGCACTGTTGAGAGAGTTTGACGGGCAACAGCAACGGAGTGCAAGCTCCCGTTAGTCACGGCATGCCTGTGTGATCCACTTGTTAAAACATGTAAAAAGAGCCCTGGCTGGTGTAGCTCAGTGGATTGAGCACCAGCCTGCGAACCACACAATCGCGGTTCGATTCCCAGTCAGGGCACATGCCTGGGTTGCAGGCCAGTTCCAAGCAGGGAACTCACGAGAGGCAACCATACATTGATGTTTCTCTCCTCCTCTCCGTCCCTTTCTCTCTAAAAATAAATAAATAAAATCTTAAAAAAAAAAAACCATGTAAAAGAGTATATGTAATAGATTTAAAAGTCTATAATTTATTAAGTATAAAAGCTGATTATAAAAGTATATGAGCCTAATTTTGTAAAAAATTTTTAAAGGAAAAATAACTCCTTGAAAGGATTTATGTCAAACATTAACGCTATTATGTTACTCAGAGGTAGGATTATAGATTTTCCTCTTTACACTTTTATGTACTTTGTAGACTGTATGTTGTAAACATAAATGCTTTTATATTCATAAAAGTGGAATGAATAATAATAAAATAAATCCTATTAGGGATAATTTTAAAAACCTTTTCACACATTTCAGAATGCAGAATTACAAAGTCAATAACTTTTATTAACATAATGATATAAAAAAATTTTAGTGTGATATACAGAATTCCCAGAGAGTAACTTTAAAACATTTTAATGTGCTTCTTTAAGTCTTAATTTACAAGACAACTTGTCTTACTGCCACTGACCTTTCAATACAAAAGTTTGACAGTATCCGCTACAAAACTACAACACAGAGACTAGGGTCAGGTAGTTGCTTCCCCTGCCGGCCATTCTAAGGGATGTCCACTGTCTGTGTGTCGAACAATAAGTTACATAGATTATGTACATAATTACAACAGGTTAGTACAATTCCAGTACGCAGCAACACACTCACTGCAGTCCACCACCGCAGGCATGACGAGCGACAATGCACCTGCTACTTGTCGCCAAAGAAGAGTAAGATGCGACAGCTGGCCTGGTCAGCCAGACCTATTTGGTGGAGAACTTAAGATGGTAAAGAATTAAAAACAGCTTTGTTAGGCACTGATTCAGGCTAATTCCAGGAAAATCTGGTCATTTCTATGAAGCATGCATGATTCACACTTTCCCATCCTTAGTTCCCCCGAAACCCAACAACTTCATAACATACTCTTTATTAGCTGTATAAAAATATTCTGTCTTAGATTTGAGCTTCACCTGAAATCTTAGAAATTTCTAAAGGATTTTATATTCTCTTTCATTTAGGTTTACTATGTTAGATCAGTCAGTTTAGTCACAACTGAGTGTGGTTTGGCCGAATTTTACAGACAAACAACTCAAAATGGGAAAGCCAGGATGAGGGGAAGCATGCCCACCTCCACGTGGCCCACCCCACAAACAGCACTGAGCACCCGAGACCCTCAGATGCCGTCACCAGGGCTTCCAAACCCACTGGTTCAGAATGAAAGTACTTCAGTACCCTTCCATGCGTGGAGAAGAAGGTATTATGTGATGTTATGAAAACAAGCAACTAACCAAACAGCTTTAAGCTATAAACCTAGGAAAGGGGTTTAAAACTAAATGCTGGATTCTCTCTCCGAGACAGGGCATCTGCTCCTACCTGGGCAGCCCTGCATGGCACTTGCCGCCCGTTAGGGACAACGTGTGCAGACAGTCGGGCACGCTGGTGTCAGTAAAGAAACCGGAAGAGAGGAGGCCCTGTGAGCGCCTCGAGTGCCTGGTCTGGGGTCCAGGAGCAGGTTCGAGAGGCGGCAGGACTGGCTGCCCTTTGCATCAGCCTTTTTGGGCTCTGTGCCTCCCCATGAAATGGAAGTGAATCGGCTGTGCTGGGGCCTCCAATTCTTTGTAGCTTAAGTTTCTATGTATGAACTTGTCATTTGAAGTGGGAATAAATAATTAAATTTCTAAAATCAAGAACTATATCTTTAGTCTAGAAAGTGCAAACCTGCAGTACAGTAGAGACCAAACGGCACACCTGCAGCTTCTCGTGGTGCCCGCGGTGGGCCTTTCGCTTCCTTTTCCAGTCGCCCTGTCAAAGAACTGATGTGTTTGTTTTTGTAAATGTCCTCGAAGATTAATAAATTTCTTCAAGTAATTTAGAACTGGCTTCTCAAATAAGATTTGGGGAACTTTAAGATGAGTCTGTGTAAGCAGGCAAGGGGCACAGTATTCCGGGAAGACTGTGGTCCTTTGTCTTGGTGGCTGTGAACACACAGCAGTGTCTTCGCGCTCCACTGCCTTTAGTTGGCCCAGTGCGTGGAAGCCTGGGTGGCCCCAGTCCGAACCCTGGTGAGCAATGCTCACATGTTGTAGGCGACGTAGATCGGGTCCAGCTGATCAGCCAGGAAGCCGTCACGCAGGTGCATGCGCTGCTTCTCGCCCCGAGAGTTGATGGGAATCACACCTGGGTCGACGATGACCACCACGCCCACGACGAGGTGGTGCTCCTCCAATACCACATTCGTCACCAGAGCCACCAGGTCCAGTGCATCTTGCTCCAGCCCATCCAGCTCCACCACCACAACCAGCAGGTTGGTCCAGGTGAACACAGCGCTGTGGGGGGAAGACAGACAGTGTCACGGGGTGTGGACAGCAGCTTCTGGGGGCCACAGAGACACGGGAAATAGCACCCAACAGAGCAGGGCGAAGAGACAAGTATATTCATCGACACTGCGCTACTACTGAACTTTGCCCAGAAGTGAAAGGCTAGGAATACGTACTCTAATTAAAGTTCTTGCTAAAAATCAAGAGCATTCATTATGTGATATTGAAGTTGAACCTGTCCCAATGCAAGCTCCCCACTAAGAAATTATGAGTCACATCCATTTTAAATGAGAAAATTCACATTAAAAGCAGAAATACTTCAGGACAGCTGCGGAGAGCTCGTGCTTCACCTGTGCATTCGGGGCTAGACTCTTGGTTTAAAACTGATGAGAAAAAGAAGAAAAACCAAGCGGAACCACACGAAGGGCCACCAGGGGTCTCCGGTGCATGTTTCCCGGAGCAGACCTGCCAAGGCCCAGGGCCAGCTCCTGGAGAGGCCGGCTTTGCCAGTGCGCGCCCGGCAGACAGGGTCTGCTGGAACTGGGGCGGCCAGGAGGCTGGCCTGCAGTCCCCGCCCCCGCCCCCAGGGCAGCACCCGCCTCCTCTGGGCCCTCACCACTCCGCAATGCTCCGGTGTGCTCGGATCACGGATGTCTCGATGTCGATGGGGTGGTACCGCATGCCTCTCAGCTCCAGCGTTTCATCCAGAGACCCAACCACGTACAGCGCATCGTGTCGCTCTGTGAAGGGCACAGTGTGCACACCTCAGAAGGGCATGGCGCCGTCTGGGCACCCCCCATGCACGGCTGTCAGCCTGGGCTGGGCTCTCCGGGACAGGGAGCTGGCTACCCCAATGTCACTTGGAAACTGAGCCTGCTGCCGATTGAGACGTGCAGCGGGCCCTGAGGAGAGTGCCGTCTATCTCCTTGATTCAGAACAGTCACATCAACGAGTGAACAGATGTTTTAAAATAACACTTCCTCTTTCTGTACACAAAACAGTGTCTACGGGGCTACCAAAGTTCTGGCTGGGTCTGGCTGGCCTCCTGGAGCCTGAGGACTTTGCCACTTTGAGGAGTCACGTGTGGGGAGGAACCTGACAGCCTCACCACCGACATCCCCCACGTCCTCGGCAGAGGCCAAGGGCCCAGGGAGAGTGAGGGACAGTCACAAAAGGAACAATGGTAATTTTCAGAGAACACCTCTGCCAGAGCGCGTCCTTCACCCACACCCACAGACACAAGCACCTCCCAGGGGTGCGGTGCGTCAGCGGGAATCCTGGAGGCGCTGCACGTGCCTGGCATCTCCTGAGCCGCAGCAGATCCTGTGGGCCGTGGGCAGACGCCCCCGCCCACGGCACTGACACGGGCGTCACCCTAGCCCCTCACCTCCACTGGCATCGGTGAGCTCTGTTCTCCGAAGGAAGCCCAGGTAGCCAGTCCTTGCCCAAGTGGTCTGGGTGTCTCCAAAGCTCAGTCGGGCACTGAAGTGGTCAGCGTGAAGCGCCTCCTCCCCGTGGACCGTGTAGTAGCCTGTGGCGTTGTGGGGGCTGCTAACCCAGATCTGTGGGGCCCAGGGGACAAGAATGAGCTGAGATTCTCTCCTGAGACAGCCACTCACCAGAGAACCGAAGAATTAACTCTGAACAAAGGCAGGGGTGTTTTCAGTGTCTCTCTTCCTGTGAACTAAGTTAAAATTACAGGCACAGAAAGCAAACAAGTAACTTTTCTCCCCTCCGAAGGGAGCGCTCCTCTCCAGGACTGCAAAGTGGATGAGCTCACGGGGGCGACTTCCGCTCCTCAGGTCAAACTACTGTTGTCAAAGAGGGCAGGGAATGGTGGACAAGCCCATGAAAGGACCAGTGGTGAAGTGAGGCTCACTGAGTGGGCGAGCACCACACAGACTTAACCCGCACACGTGTAACTTCTGCACATCCACATGCCCTTGCTGGGTGCACACGTGCTGGATGTACCCAGTGCCACTGCCCCCACGTGTCTTCTAAACACAGGGCCCTTCTAGGACCCACAGTCGGCTCCCCGGACCGAGCACCTGGCTCTACACACCCCCACAAGGCAGCATCCTACGAGGAGACAGGGCAGCTGACAGGGCCTTCCGCCACAAGAGGTGGGGTCCCAACCTAGCACAGACCCTCTGTGATCTTGGGGCACCAAGTTGCCCTAACAGGCTTGGGTCCCGCTCATCAGAAGGGGAGGCCCCACGCCAACCCCACCACTGCTGGACTGGTGCATCTTCCCAGTAGAACACTGAGCGGCCTTGGGGAGCCCCAGGCCCACACACATCCTCGTCTCAGTGAGAGTGCCACCTACTGGGACCCTGGAAGTTGTCCACACCAGAGATCACCAGGGGCCGTGTGCCCCCCGGTGCCAGGACACTGGTTCCATGGCACATCCCTGGAGCCCAGAGCTGGGGGCACGAGACCGTTCTCATCATCACAGGTCTGACCTGGGCACTTGGGCTGAGATCTGGGCTCTCCCTGCCAGCCTGCCTCCAGGAGGTAAGTCCCACTTGTAACAAATCACTCTGGACACACGTGCATGAACCAAGTGTATCAACACGATGATTCCTGCACAGCCTGAGCATGCCAGGGCGCGGGGTCCTCAGGAGTGGAGGGCCCCTGCATGCAGCCCTGGGGCCTGCACTGTGCCAGCCTGTCCCTCAGGGCTGTGGCTCCTGGCTCAGTGCATGAACTGTGTTTTAATGGACCTCTGCTTTCTCCATGCTGATGGTTCTGGTGCAGCTACTGGAGCCTCTCAGGACCTACAAAACTCAAGGTTCCCCTCTGCTGGTAGGGGACCTGGAATGGGGACTCATCCCAAGGGACCCCAAAATCCTACCCAGGCACTGGGTACAGGAGCACAAATGTGCCTGGGGCAGGGAAGGGCTAAAAGCTTGGCAGATTCCCAAAAGCATGTGTGACCCCAAAAAACTTAGAATTCACAAATCTGGGGCAGACAGGAAGAGGGAGAGAAGCAGCTCCCAGGGTGCACGAGGCTCCAGAACACAACCCCCCAGCCTCACCTCTCCCAGGTGCGAGTCTCCGAGGGGCCCCTTGGTCTCAGTGTGCGCGATGATGACCTTCACTCCGGGGAGAATCTGGAAGAAGAAGAACCACGCCCATGTCCAAGACAACACAAGACTCCTGACTCGGTGACATTAGAAACGACAGCCCTCAGAAACTGATCCAAATGACACGGCACGCACAGGCAAGTAACCAGAAGGTTTAAAGCCGATGTGAACTTGAATTTGAACAGAAACATTTCAATATATAAAAAGATATGAGAATCTTAGAAGACTACCTCAGTTCCTAAGACCAGACCCTATTTCGAATATCGCTGAGGGGCACAGAGGGTCTCCATAAGCATCTACTCTACCTGGAGTCTTTCAGCAAGGCCACTCAGGACCACCCAGCCCCACCGCTCAGCTGTGCCCCAGCCCAGCATGCAAACGCCCTGTCCATGGCTTCACCCAGCCTCCTAGTTCTGGGCTGGGGACTCTAACCATGACTGGAGTCGGTCCAGCCATGGGTCGCCTCCTCTGATGGAGGACAGATAGAGGCACCAGCTCTCACACAAGAGCCGTGGGGAGCACTCCAGGAGAGGGTGCCTCAGGCCAGGGGCCCCGCCCACGCCCGGTCCTGGGGCGACCTCAGGGGGCCTGGGTCAGACCACCTGGCTGCTCCAGGGGTGGTCACCTGTCCTGTGGCGTTTCCTCACAAAGAAAAAGGGAGATGACAGGGAGGTCCCCCAGGAAGATAAGCAGGGACGAGGGGTCACAGGAGGGGCGTGGGCTGTTGCCCACGGGCAGTACCAGGCTCTCCTCCCACTGTCACTGCACCCTCACCACACACTGTCCTGTGGGACAGTCCTGTGGTCCCGGACAACGCTGGGGCCTCTGACCCCTCCCCACGGGGCCCCCTGAACCTGACGCCAGCACTCTTTCCAGAAGACAAATCCGTCAGGCACAAGTCATTGCAAGAGCAGAACAGGAGGGATAAAAACTCCATCAGAAGTGGGAGGAGGAGTGATTAAAACAATGATGGAACTGCCTTAATTGACAAAACACAAAAGGCAAAAAGAACTGTTTTAAGACTTAATGACACAGGAAAAATAAGCTAGGTTTGCAAAAAGAGTAAAGCAAAGCCGTCCACCGGGCATGTGCTCCAGCGATGAGCTCAGAAGGGGGAGGGTTACTGCCCACATTCGCCTCTCAGAGGGTCTCCTCCAAGGCGCGTTAAAGACAGGCTCCGGGAGGCATGCTCCCGCAGCCTCGCGCCTGCACCGAGTCCACGCATTCCCTCGCCCGCCTCCTCTCCCCCCAGCTCAGCTCCGGCTGTGCTGGTCTCCCTCCCTCGAGCCCTCTGCCACGGCCCCCTCGGGCTGCCGGCCTCCTCACAGTACAGGCGCAAGGGCTCCTCGCCAGGCACCTTGCTGCCTCCTAAAGGCGGCCGCGGCCTCGGCAGTGTGTGAGCAGAGGCAGGTGGCCCTCCACACTGCATGGGCTGGGGTTGTCTATTCCTGGCCATGCTGGACACTCAGCCCTGTCCACTATCCTGCCGTCTCCTGGCCATGGCACAGGGCAGCTGCCAGGTCACACCATCTTCATCACACGGCCTCATAGGGCCATGTGGGCTTTCCACCTTCCTTCAAGCCTCCCCTGGTTCTACAGACACCTGCTCTCCTGGGCCTGTGCCTGCTGACCCCTCTTCGCAGTGCTCACAGCGTGAACCGGGGCACCCTCAGGTGTTCTCACGCCCCCACACCCCTCTAACACCTCCCAACCCCTGTGCACCCACAGGGCCTCAGCAGGCCTGGACTGGCTTCAATGGCAAATCGCAACATGGGTCTAGGACTCCACCTGCTGCCCAAGGCCCTGTGGAGACCCCTTCCTGGCTGTCGCCTGGAAGGGCTGACTTGTGGGGTTGTGCTGGCCTTGCTCCAGGACAGTGTGAAGACCTCGGGCCCTGGCCCGAGGAGGCCTACAGCTTCGAGCCCCGCGGTGGCAGTTCCTCCTGTGTTTCTGCCCCTGAGGCCCGTCCCTGGCTTTGAGCTCAGATGTGCCCGTTAGGCCTTCACCTAGCCCTTGCGTGTGTCTGCAGCGGGGGAAGCCTCCCATGTCCGCCTGGCCCAACCACAGCCGTCTGTGTTCACCAGGAGAAACGCAGCGTCCACTACCTTTCCAGACTCCGTCAGCGGCAGACTGTGAGGAGAACCCCGTTCTACCAAACGTACCCTAAAAATTAACAAGGGGAAATTTTCAGAATAAAATTTACTACACAAGTAGTGACCTCTAAAAAAGCAACTGGTAAGACAATCGGAAATTGCTGCGGTGACGCCCAGTCCTTTGACAACAGTCAAAACTAGCTGTCCACAGGGCCTTGTTGTGATTGTGACTGGGGACTGCAGGTGCCACAGGGGACGCACTCTACCTGCCTGGCTTGCCTGGCACAGCTCAGGGCAGGAGCCTGTTCTAGGTTTCTCTGGGGGTGTCTGCAAGCTGTGCTGTGGCCACGTTTGAGGGCCCAGGCCCGGACCCGAGCCTCAAGGCCGGGAGAGACACGGCCCTGCAGGCACGCCGTGGCCCATGCCATGGCCCCAGCACACATTTACTGATGTGAACACTAGGTCCCACCCTGAAACGGTATCATGGGAAAACGTCCTTGCTATTAGTTGGTTTACACGTCCTCAGCCCCATAAAAAGCTAAATGTCAAGTGCTTGGTCACTCCCACAGTCCTTCTGGTCATGGGAATGACAGATAAAGGAACACTGACTGAGCCTCGAGGACACAGGGATGCAGAGAGGGAGACCCGGGCTCCCCCAGTAGAGGCAGGCCAATGGCTGGCCAGGTGCTGGGGGGTCCAGTCAGGGCTGACCCAGCTGCACAACCTCACCCACATGCCGAGGGCGGTTACCTGTCATGGCGCAGCGCCCGCATGTCCACGTACACTGTTGTGGGGTCCGGGCCGGCTGTGCCCTGGAAGGAGAGAATCACATCTGCAGCTACACGCACAGCCACCTAACAGCTCCTCCCCGCTGCCAGGAAGGCAGCAGCTCTGCTCTGGTGGCGAGTGTCCCTGCCCAGGGCCACTGCTGCCTCCCATCCAAACACCTACATGGCTTAGTGACATGGAGTGAGAACCAGCAACACCGAGTGAACATGCCGACCTGTATAACTGTGCATTTCGGTTCTAACAGCTGGGCTCTATGTTGTGGTGAAAACACCACACACACTTGGGAATTGGTGGGGGCATTTCCACCAGCCGCTGGTCAGGCCTGGCTCTCTCCAGCCGACCTAATTCTACTGGGGGCTGGCAACAGCAGAGGCTCAGTCAAGGTCAGTGGAGTGATGGCTTCCCTTCCCCCACATCTGACACTTGGACCCTGAGTGAAGTATGTCACGTCCCATTTTATTAGATAAGGAACATCGAGTTAAATGGACACTCCGTTCAACATTACTCTGAGGATCGCAGACAACATAACCAAATGCTTCACTGAGACCCAACAGCCCTTTCCTCCAGAGGTAATGCTATGAAGGTTAAACTCTTCTGAAAACAGTTCTGGCCTTAAATTTGATTACAAAGGAGCTTTTAAAATATGTAAAATAATATCCATTGTGAGCAAAGTCAGACAGCAAAAGAAACATGTATTTGTCTAGAATTGAGGAGAAGGCCACAGGAACTCATGGGGGAAGCACAGAGGCACCTCGAGGTCAAGGTCAAGGTCGTACCTGCTCAGCCAGCTTTCCCAGCCTGTTGGGCTGACAGAGGCAAAGGAGGCCAGCAGAGTGAGACAGGAGGAGACAGCCACAGGAGACAAACAGAAAGCAACAGGCCACGTGAGAAACACACGGTAAGGGACAGCAGAACGCGTCGCTGCATCTCAAAGGGAAGACGTGAGCATCCTGGTGAGACTTGCGCACCCGCACACGACGTGCCAACAGAGGCGGTGACCTCCCAACACCAAGTCAGAAGCGCGACTTCTCTGCAGCTGCTGACTGCCACACCAGCAGCCCGAGGCTTGCTCCCACTCCTACAACAGGGAGAGTGTGAGGAGGGCACCCCGGCCCACTCCTCTGCCCAGGGCAAGGGTCTGACGCTTGGAGTGGTCCGCACAGTCTTTTCACGGCTGAGAGGACACCAGCATAAATGCCGCGGAAAAGGACGATGGTCCACGGCTGGCCCAGGACACGGGTGCTCTGGGAGGAGGGCCGAGCTGAGCCAAGGCTCTGAAGCAAGAAAGAGCCCCACCCCAGGGCGCCGCTCTGGTTCCAGTGCTGCCTTTCCTCTAAAAACTGTCTGTCTGTGTGGGTGGGCAGGCGTCCAGCATGTCTTTAGAAAGAAGTGAAACTGAGAGAGTCGTACAACATCTGGAAAACAACCAGCCTCCTGAGAAGCTGCCAACAGCTCTGCAGTTACTGTCCAGTCTCTGCAACGTCATGTTCCCTTTCAATAAGTACCAGTAAAATACCTTAATGTCTCAAATACGAGTTAAAGGTAATGCAAATGACCAGATTAATGTTTCAATTTAAAATTGCTAGATGTCTTGAAACAATGCTTGTTGTTTTAAAAAGTTCACTGCATATTGTATCCAACTTAGATTCTTTCATTAAAGAACAAGTCACTGTTCAAAAACAATTTGTTTTTTCCAGATAAGCCTTGTTCATGAAGAGAATAGATTCTAGTTAAACCTCAGTTCTTGAGTGTCTTGGTTCTCAAACAATTTGGTTCTTGACCAAACTGTTTACAGAAAAAAGGTCTCGGTGTCTGAACAAACTCTGGTCTCGATTCCTTACCCAACAACCCTTTCAGTTGATACCTGTAGGTTCAGTCACATGTCTCTGGGTGACAAAGGAGATTCGGTATTCAAACAAATCGCTTCTCGAATAGTTTTCCAGAACGAATTAAGTTCAAGAACCGAGGTTCCACTGTATCTTTTAAAAGAACCCTCGCAGGTCTCCAAGATAAACTATTTGGAAATTAAACATGAAAGGCTCAGAGGGTGAGAGAGGGACATGACCAGCACAACACAGAGCAAAGGTTCAAACACTGCCGGCCCAGAGCGCCCAGCACGGCCACCTTACCTGGAGGCAGATGGCCACGTTGACCCTGCACCCAAACGTGGTGCTCACGGCACGCGCGGGCAGGCCGAGATCCTTGAACAGCTTGGAGAAGGACTGTGTCAGCGCGATCCGGGGTCGCTCCTCAGCAACCACCATGCATGTGCGCACACACGACAGGTTCACCCCCTTCATCTGCGGGGGGTGGGGAACGGGGTAAGATCGGGCTCTCCGCGCTGTTTTAGGAAGCTCCTGAGGGGATCCGTGTGTGACCTGAACATGGACCCCAGCTCCTCTGCCTTGGCCTCAGCCTACAAAGCTCTACGTATAGAAGGGCTAGGGGTTACCCACCTGCTCCACATCCACACCAGCCCTCCTGCTCACCTGGCTGTAGCTCCGCAGGGCTCTCTCTCCTGGCTCCTGCCCCAGGTCCTTAGGGGCCCTGGGGCATCCAAGATGCACCCAGAGCTAGTGTCAGACCTGCTCCCTCCCCATGCTCCCCCATACCCTTGACAATGTACCTGTCCCAAGCCAGCCCCACACCCTAGCCCACCTCACGCCCTGTCTCCTGCCACATGGGTATGCAGATGCAGGGAGCAAATTCCCTCTGCACAGGTGTGATGGGGGTGAGTGAGGAGCTCCCAGCACTGGGTGGGCACTGGGATGAAGTGACACGGAGCCAGCGTGGCTCAGTGCCCGGTGAGGGTTTTCTCTGCTTCCACAACTGCTTGGAGCTGTGTTGGGGGTCTTTTTCTTAGGTTCCAGTGTCCCAGTTAAGAGCTAACTTGGGAACCCTAGGTTTTGGTACTTCCTGAGGAGATGCAAGGCAGCAGGGCATGGGCAGCCCTGGGCACAGGCACACTCACCCTGAGGACACCTGTCTGTGCGCCCAAGCCTTTGGTGCACATCTCCATGACCGAGTAGGAGCAGAAGGTGACGCGGGCCTTGTACTGGCTCACAGCTGACAGCCACAGGGACACATTGCTTTCCAGCTCCAGCGGGGGCACCAGCACGGACTGGTGTCCAGAGTAGACACTGCGGGGCCGTACAGAGTGAAGTCAGCTGCAGCCGCTCTGCCCAGGTGTGTCACCTGTGCATTCCAAGTATCCTGCCTGCCTGTGCCAATGCACCCGGGGTGGTGTCTCCTTCCTTTTTCATGGACAGAACAGGGGACAACTCTCCCTAATGTCCAGTGGGCGTTTCAGTGGAAAACACACTGTGGGGGCAGGGGGACAATGCACAGGGGGTCCCGGTTTCCCTCCAGTACTTCATAAGGATCCAGAGTCACGGTCAGAGAAAGGTGTGCTGGCTGGGGACTCGGTGTTCTAATTCCAAAGACCTGTCGCTAGTAGTCTCTTCCCAATTACTAGTAATGGGTAATGTCTGCACTTAACAAGAAATGTATTTTCACTCTTTTACTCAGTTTCGGACCCAGGTTCAAACTCACCCCACCCCCAAAGAAACCCCCTCAGATGTGGATCTTTGACTTTCTGGCACCAAAAATGCATCTTAGAATGTTAAAGTTCTGAAGAACTACATGTAATCCCAACCCAGCAGGTGGGGTACCTGCACACTCACATGCACACCCTCCACTCTTAGCTGCTCTCACCTGCACAGCTCACCTCCACTCACCTGTACACTCTTCCCACACACTCACTTGTACACTCTACCTGTGTGCTCACCTGTACACTTGTCCTCCACTCTCCTGCACACTCTCCCTCCGCTCACCTCACCTGCACACTCACCTATACGCTCCCCCTCCACGCACATGCATGTTCTACGCAGACTCTACCTGCGTTCTGCTTCCACCCACACCCTACCTGCACACTCACCTGCACAGGCACCACAGGGCGAAGCCGAGTCCGCAGTAGGGGTCGAGACAGATGGCGATCTGCCTGGAGGGGTACAGCTCACACTGCAGCTTTATGGAGCGGCACAAGGCACTTGTGGCTGCGTGTGACATCTGAGGGGCAGCATGGAAGGTCTGCTCAGTGATGTACAGAGAGAGGGACTAACGGTGCCCGCCGTCCACAACACATTTACTTCCTGAAAGGACGGCTGGCTCACAGTCCCGCACAAACCAAATAACAATGCCCAGGAAATGGCACGTTAAAAACCTCCTACATGAGACTCCAGGATGATAAACAATTGTAATGAAGCACTGAGCTCCTCGTAAGGAGATAGACCGTGAAAGCCACATACTCCTTGAGGCCAGTCAGCCATAAATCCACAAGTTCAGACATTACCATAAAACATCAAAATGTGTATCACTCTGAGGCCAGCGCAACTCTGGAGTTCACGGGCATCAAGGACAAACGTGAAGGAACAACACTGTTGCTTCAGGCTCTGGGTGAGAGGACAGGCCCCACGCGCCTGCCCCCAACGCCCTTTCCCCCCACTGCTGTCAGGGACGGAAGCTGAGGAGCTGCGACCAAAGGACCCACCTTCACACCTGCTAAGATCCCTGTAGTCGACACACTGAAGTCCAGATACGCCAGCATGTCCGGGGAGGGAGGCCTGAACACACTCGCCACCTTCTTTTTTGGTATGTCATCTGTTAAGGGGAGACACCTGTTAACCCTTCTGCAGGCTCCCACAAGGACAGGTGAGTCCCGGAGAGGATGCTCGCAACAGACGCTGCGCTATGGAAACCGGGCTGTGTAGGTGAGTGGGGAAGCTCATTTCAGCCCCCAAGGGAACATCGCCCGGTGTGGACCCTCCGTGACAGTGCTGATGGTGTGGGAGAGGGAATGTGGAGGGAGGAAACTGGCCGTGGAGCTGCAGGGAGTCCTCCAGTCAGCAGCAGGAGGGTCACGGAAGCTGAGGTTAGCCAGGATCAGCAAGAACTCTGGCGGTGAGAGAGCCGCAGACACGCTCCCATGCCTGTGGGTGGGTGCCGGGCACCGTCCCCGGCCTCCCCTCAGAGGCGGTGCCCTGGAGCACCAGGGCAGACGAGTGTGATGTGGTAGAAAGAAGACCTGTCTGCTCGCTGCCTGGCGCCCACGTGGCTGCGTATCTCAAGTCACCAAAGGAGCCTGTGCAGGGCCGCTCATCGGGGGCACCTCGACGAGGTGCAGGGGAGACGGTCTCAGCCCTGGGCTGACCTAACCACCCGAGGCAGGGGGTGGGGGCTTTCGGCCCTCTCAGCTGTCCCGCAAGTATTTCATTTCACGGGATGAGGCAGCATTCACCAATGACAGGAACGAGGGATGTGCGTATGTGCGTGTGTGCACAAACACTGTGGGCCCATCCACGTGCCCACGTGCCCAAGCATGACAGACAGCTGTGGGCCACAGGCACACAAGCCCCAGGCAGCGATCTTCGCTCCCCACTGGCGGTAGAGACCCCACCGTGAGTGACGTGAACTGCACGTCATGTCTCCCTCCATCCTACGAGACCAGTCCCAGCGGGTGGAAATAGCTGCCGGGAACAAGGCAGCAGGCCCTTTTCAGCAGCCTCCTCACCATTTACTTCAGCTCGTCTGGGCGGCAACAATGCAATCCTGACCACAACGAAAGGGAAGAGGTTTGGCCTGGTATGACCCGCATGCACACCAACAGTGCCATGACACGTACCTGTATCTAGAATGGTGGGCCAGGTCCTGACGTCCACGGTGGCTGCTGCTTCCTTGGATTTCAGCAGCCGCATGATGGCCTGCGTGGTGAGGACACAGGCAGATTTGCTGACCTGAAGAGCACGGGGATCAAAGGCCCAGTGAGATGCGGTGCCTGGATACAAACCCCTGCACAGGGATGGCCCCGAAGAGATTGCCAGATGCCGGGAGGAGAGACCCATGGTCCTATTAGCACACAGGCAGGTCCCCAGTGAGATCTTCCCTGTGGGGCCACAGTGCACACTCACCTCCACAATCATCTTGACGGTTGGGAGCGTAGTAGAGAGGTTCTGGGGGTGTGGGGGCCGCACAGTGACCGGCACGCAGCCACAGTACAGGCAGCCGTAGAAGGCAGCAATGAGGTCCACCCCTGGGGAGACACGAGGTCAGAGGCTCAGTGTGGGGGCTGAGTGTAGCTCACCATGTCTAGTGTCATGCCACAGCGAACAAGACGCAGGGTCACAATTTGCTTTACCTGGTAAAGCTGCTTCTCCAACTAATGAGACCCTTATCGAACACAATGCTGTGAGGGAGGGACAAAAGCACTCCCTTCGGCAGGTAGGCTCCCCGCAGGCCCTGGAGGCCAGGGAGGGGCATGGGTGCAGGCGGGTCTGGTAGAGCAGCAAGCTCTGACCACCATCACTGTGCATGAGGCAGACACAGGGCAGGTGAGCGAGGACAGCAAGGAAACCATTGGAGGCCCAGCTGTCCGTGGGGCAGGGCACGGGAACACAGGAACAGGGGCAGCACGGGCAGAGGCCCTTCACCTGCTTGCTGCACATCTGCAGGGAGGTCGGCAGCCCTGGACACAGGCCAGGATGTCCCTGCCTCGCTCTCAACCACACGAGGTAACGTGGGGCCACTGGAATGTTCCTTAATCTTTTCCATATGGTCAAAATTCCCCATAATTAACACCCGTGCGGAAATGTACCACTTAAAATCCGTTTTCTCTTCTTGAACTCAGTACGACTTGAGAACACTTGTGCCCTCACAGCCTGCGCCCTTTCTAGATGCTGCCCTCAGATCAGCCAAGGTCCCACTTGGCATCCTAGGCTATAAGACATCAAGGTCTCAGGCTGTTTCAATTCCAGAGTCAAGATAAATATGCCACGTTTAACCCGGTTAGTGGGTTTCACCAGATTACAAGTGCCAAGGCCCCACCAGTTAACTAGGAATGTAATCATCTGGGCTAGGGGGAGCTCAGTATACTAATTAGCAGGGGCCTAAGCCCACCCACTGGACCAGGCTGGTCCCACCACTGCTGCCAGGCGACCACCCACACGCTCTATGCCTGCGGCCAGCTGCAAGGATCAAGCGAGGGCTACCAAGGGCCGGCACACAGCATTTCCAACACAAGTGAGCATCCTCACACCCAGCGTCACCACTCGGTCAATGCGCCACAAACCCATTATCAAACTGAACACAAGGAGGTGTCAGCGGGAACTTGTTTGGTGAGCTGGCACAGCTCCTACTGTCCCTGCAACCTTCCTCTTCTCCCGGCATCACTGGCAACACATCAGCTCCACCTTCTGCTGCTTCCAGAACACCCCCTTGAGAACTGGAAGAAATTCTCAGATTCTCCAAGCCTCGGACGACACGCAGGCCTGTGCCTGAGCACCTGCACCACTGGACCTCTGCGCCCCCCACCAGTCTATTCTCCACCTGCTCTCTTTCTTCTTTCTAAAGGTTTAATTTGTCTACTTTTAGAGAGAAGGGGGAAAGGAGGGAGAAAGAGAGAGAAACATCAGTGTGTGAGAGAAGCGTCGAGTGGTTGCTTCTTGCATACTGGTCTGCAACCCAGGCATGTGCCCTGACCAGGAATCAAACCAGTGACCTTTTGGTTCGCAGGCCAGTGCTCAGTCCAATGAGCCACACCAGCCAAAGCTCCACCTGCTCTTCAGTGTTTAAAACGTAAACTTAGAACTTCATCACGCATTTTCTTTTCTTCATTAAACATTTTTTTATGGACAGTGCAAAACATGCCCCAAAGCAGAGAACAGTATCAGCTGTTTTCATCACTAAGACTCTCAATGACCAGGACAGCTCTGTCTGTCTCCTGTGCTTTGGCATTTAAGAAAAGGGCCTATTTATTAGTTTTATGGCTAAAAAAATGAAAAAGAAATGAGAATCTCACTAACCCCTAGGGAATTCGGAATGTAGAACACTGGACACCACGAGAGGAGAGACAACCACCAGTGGTTTCTGAGGAAAGAGCTCAGCACCACTACCAGCCCTGGCGAGGGACAGGCCTGCATCTGCGCCGGAGCCTGGACCTGCGATCCACAGCTGGGGTCTGGTGCCTGTGCTCACAGCCCGGCAAGGGACACAGCACCCCGGGAGCGTGCTGACTTACTGGGCCATGCTGGGTCTTTGGTAGATAAATTGTAAGGATGGTGGGAAAGAGGATAGCCTGTAGTTTAAAAGAAACTTAAAAAATATGCCACATTTAAGAAAAATTGGCAGACTAAAGTACGTTTAGGAACCAAACTATAAAGAAATAGAAGAAATGATGACTCCAGGATCCAGGAAAGAGGCTGCCTTGGGTAGAGTGGAAGAGGCTGAGGCTGGGACAGGAAGGCAAAGGGACTTCTGGGTACCTGACAAAGACCTATTCCTTGACCTGGCTGGTGGTGACTGGGGTGTTTGCTTTCTACTAATAAAACGTAGGGGAGAGACGGGGGAACCACAGCCAGATGAAAAAGCAGAAGGGTTAACAGAGGCTTCACTGCCAAAAAGTCTCAGTCTGACCACAATTAGATTACAGTCATTTACGAGGGGGTACAGACACATCAAGAAGCTAAGTGTAACTGCTAAGGCCCAATGTTCAGTCTCAGAAGCTGGACACTGTGGTTGCAATGGTGCAGGGCCACAGGCCAGGAGCCCCCCGAGTCCCCGTAATAGTTCAGGGAAAAGGTGACCGTGACACCAGCACCCCTGGGACTGTCCCATGAGAGAAGACTAGATGGGCGTGGATGCTTGCGGAGGAGGGGCCCAGGTGAGTTTCCTGATGTCTTGATGTGCTTACCTGGCGGGTAGACCAAAGCCACATGGTCCCCGATGCTCAGTCTTGCCTTCTCCATCAGAGCAGCAGCCACCCTCTCAGCCTTTCTGTGCAGCTGGACACAGGTTGCAGTGCTCGTCACCGTGCCCTAGGAAATCATGGAGTCACACTGAGCTGCGGGGCAGCGGGCTTGCTCCTCGTACACACTGTGTACGCCCCACCGGCCCCCACAGGGCAGCTGGGCCGACTGACCTTGGCATTCAGCAGCAGAAACAGCGGGTGGTCGGGAGTGGTGTGGGCCCGCCACTGCAGCACGTCGGGCAGGAACAGGAACTGCGCAGAGAGGCCACCTCAGCCCCCTCCGCTTCACAGGAGAGGCGCCCTCCTCACCCTCCCAGGTACTGGCCTGTTACCTTCCTGGCCTGGTCGCTGTCTTCCAGGTGAGCCAGCTCCCGCCCCGAGGCCTGTGCAATTCTTTTCCCAGCAACCAGATTCCCAACAATCATGGAGGCTGGTCCAACCTCTAGAAAAGGGTAGGGTGCTGAATGAGAAGCGGATGACGTCTAAGCTGGCACTTCACACTCCTAATGTGAATTAGATATGTGACTCTTCACTAAGATACAGATGTTCGAGCAACCCAGGGAATGGTTCACGGCAACAGAGTGAACGCTCAGGCACTCACTACGATGCTGTGCCAGGCAATGAGGGATTTCCTTGATGTTCAGCTACACGGTTTATGCTAAATGACAAAGAGAATCTCTCTCTTAAATATTCGCAATACCAGACTGAGAATTTTACCAAATGGCACAGATCTGGGGGAAAATGACTTGATCTCAGCCACAGCTAAACTCTTAAGGTATTTCATTGTTTTACTGTATTTTTGGTACAAAATAGGAAATTAAATTTTCCTGATTAAATGTATTTTACTTAATGATATTTTAATGTTCCATAATCAGGAAAAAGAGCCAGCATTCACTTAAAATTCACATAACCAAAAGAATGAAAAACTATATGTAACAGGTAAACAGGGAAGGGAAACTGACCACTTGTGGAGACTCCCCAGACCCCTCACCAACCCCGGCTGTGGTGGGTCACAGGGCTGGGGGAGAAGCACACACACCCCTGCCCTGTGCAAGCACTGCAGGGGCTGACATAGGTTCTTTAGGTCCCCGTGCTCCAAGTCTGCTCTTGGGCAGCACGTCCACTCCCTGGGAGCCATGGCCTTGCCACCCAAAGCTAAGATGTCAGGCTTGAATTTAGCCACCAAGATGGGTCTAATAGGCAGGCAGAAGTGACCACACCAGCAATGTGGTGAAGTTCTCTCTTACATGGCTCAGTTCTAAGGAGGGAAAAGCTGGTGACTGGCCTGGTATGCCACTCACTCTGGCTATTAACCCTAACTGGTTTGCACCATTAACCAGGACGGTGCCTGCCACCCATTTAAGACTGTTAATGCCCAACTAACCTGGCTGTTTCTGGCGAGGTTTGGGAAGATTGGTGACACAGGTGTGCGGGCACATTAGCACATTGCACGGGTGCAGCGTCCCCTCCAAAAAACGCTGTTTGGCTTCAGAGACGTGAACCCCTCCAAGAGGAGCCTTGGGCAAGGTGTTAGCAGGAACCAGAGCAAGACAGTACACGCCCACCTGGTGGATGCTGTCAATGGCCTGGAAGGGAGGACACAGGACAGGAGGGACTTCTTCTGAGACCCAACACATTGGGACCAACCCAGCACATGCTGACCAACCGAAGGCTGCTAGGAAGATGAAGGCTGGTGAGGACATTCCAGTCCCAAGGTCAAAAAGACACAGTGACCTCAGGATATTTTGTTAAATGAGAAAACAAGGTGAACATGGGTACACTTTCTATCATTTAACCACACAGTGTCTGCATACACGTGGTCATAAACTGTAACCACATAAATTAAAAAATGGGAAGTTAGAGAAGCCCCAAAAACCCTGTTAAATGACCTCCTGTGCAAGGAGTGAACAAGCAGGGGCAGAAGCTGGGCTCCTCTGAATATACTTTGCTTTCATATTTGACTCTGAACCATGTATGTATTTTGCATACGAAACACTTAAAATATTTAAAAGCAATCCCTAACAACTGAAAATAAAATAAAACAAATGAACCCCACCAAACTGGAATCAGGTTGGTGGCACAGCCCCACAGGGAGGGTCTATTTAAAGCGACTTTAAACATGGGTATTTAATGAGTCCACACCAAGTGGGATAGGCCCTGTGGGAGGAAAAAAAACACGTGAGAAAACCATCTCCAGCTGCTCTCACAGATCCGAGCTTCAGAGAGAGGCACAGACTGTCTTTCTGCGACCACAGGGCGTGTAGCGCAGCCTAAGGCAATGGAGAAAGTCTGCAGGAGCAGGTCAGTGTGGGAGAAAGGAGAATGATGAGTTAGGTAAAAGCCCTGTGGCCTTGAATGGAGTTAAAGTTAGCAACATACGCTCCTGATGTAGGCAATCTTGCAGACAGCCATTCCCTACTCTGTCCACTGGAAACAAGCCCGGAGACAGTGACTGAGCTGGCAACTGCAAGTGCCCAGACGGTGGTCCCAAATTCTCTTTCCCCTGGAAGGCAGCTAGGGTCCTAGTCCTCCCAAGCCTGGGACAGGAAAGGCGCTGCCTCCCAGGCCTCTGAGTTCCCTGTTCTCTGGTACGGCTGCAAAGGACCGCAGGTATTACAAAAGGCTTCATAAGCCGGACGGAAGAGACTCCGACTGACCACCGAAAGTAACTACAATATTCCGAAAACACATCCAGTATGTTTAAATCCACTACTAGTTCACAATAGGACAAATACACAAAACCGAACCCAGTGGGTACTTTTAGAGGATTCTAGGAAACCAGCTCATTGCTCTGAGGTCAATCCCTGAGTTCGTTTTCCTGCATGACCTGCCCTCCAAAGCCCCAGGGGATTCCACAGGAATCCTTGTAGAAGAAACTTCTAAAGCTGCTCCAGGAAACGAAGAAGAAGGCATACGGGTATCAAGGAAGCACCGCTGTGAAGTCCTAACACATCAGTGGGTATAGCAATGCTAAACCACAGGCATCACGTACCATCTACGAAAGACTATTTATTGTCAGAAATCCGAACCTGCGCCTCACCAAAAGTCTAGATCTAATACCAGCGTGCAGGAGCGACGGGACAGAGAAGCACATTAAACGATACCACAGAATTCAGGCTCTCGAAACACACTGGACAAACAACCGTTTCCGTCAGTAAACAAGTTGGAAGAAAAAGATGACAGAGAAGTCTATAGATTAAAAAGACTTAAAGACCTGTCCCTGCCAAGTACCATTCCTTACCTCACTTTGATTCTGAGACTAACAAACAAAACATTAATGCAAAATGTGAATAATGACTGGATAGATATTTCACTACATCAGATGTTGTTAGGATAAAAACAAAGCGGGGACAAAGGGAACATACCTCAACACAATAAAGGCCATACATGACAAGCCCACTGATAATACAGCTAACAGTGAAAAGCTGAAAGCTCTTCTTCTAAAATAAGAAACAAGACAAGAATGTCCATGCTTATCGTTTTTATTCAACTTATTACTAGGAGGCCTAACCTGAGCAATCGGGCACGAAGAAAAAGGGGGGAGGCAGTGGAGAAAAGAAATAAAAGGCATCCAAACTAAAAAGGAAAACGAAAATCATCTCTATTTGAAGATGCCATTATATTATATATAGTAAACCCTAAAGCCTCCTCCCCCAAAAAAAAACAATTAGAAATATCAAACAGATTCGGGAAAGTTTCAGGATGCAAGAGCAATATACAAAAATCTGTTGCATCGCTAAACACTAATGATGAGCTATCAGAAAGAGAAATTAAGAAAACAATCCCATTTACAATTACATCAAAAAGAATAAAATACCTAGGAATAAATTTAGCCAATGAGATAAAAGACATCTATATACACTGAAACTATAAAACACAGATGAAAAAATTGAATAAGACCCAAATAAGCAGAAAGATGTTCCATATTCATGGATAAAAAGAATATTCTTAAAACATCCATACTACCCAAAGTCATCGACGGACTCAGTGTAATCCCAATCAAATTTAAAGAGCATTTTCCACAAAAACAGAACAACCGTACAATTTGTACAGAACCACAAAAAAGGCTGAACTGCCACAGCAAATGAGAAAGAAGACCAAGGCTGGCAGTATCACGCTCCCTGATTCAAACTATCCCGCAAAGCCATAGTGATGAAACAGTGGTGCTGGCGCAAAAACGACACACAGATCAATGGAAGAGAACGGAGAGCTCAGAAATAAACCCACACTTACTTGGTCAAGTAATTCAAAACACAGAAGCCAAGAATACACAATGGAGAACAATTTCTTCAGTAAGTGGTGTGGGAAAAACTGGACATCCATATGTAAAAGAATGAATCTGGACCACTGTCTTGTATAAGAACAAACGCAAAATGGATGAAAGACTTGAAACCACATAAGACTTGAAACCAAAAAACTGCTAAGAGAAAACAGTATGGACTCCTTGATATAGGCCTTGGCAATGATTTTTTGGATTTGACACCAAAGCAAAGGCAACAAAATAAAAAATAAACAAGCAGAGGTGCTTGATGAAACTAATAAGCTTCTGCACAGCAGACAAAGCTCAACAGCAACAAAACAAAACAAAACACCTCAAACAATCAAGAGGACATACAAGTGAAAAGATGCACAACATCTCTAATCATCAGGGAAATGAAAATTAAAACTATACCTGTCAGAATAGCAACCATCAATAAATCAACAGAGTAGTGCAGATGAGGATGTGGAGAAAAGGGGACCCTCCTACACTGCCAGTGAGACTGTAAATTGGTGTAGCCACTGTGGAAAACAGTATGGAAATTCCTCAAAAAATTAAAAATAGAACTGCCATATGACTCAGGAACTCCACTTTTAGGTATTTATCTGAAGAAAACGTAAACATTAACTCGGCAAGAAATATGCTCCCCATGTTTATTGCAGCATTCTTTACAACAGCCAATAAGTGAAAACAACAAGTGTCCATCGACAGATGAATGGACAGAGAAAACATGGCGAGTCAGAGAAAGGTGGGACTGAGTAAGCAGCGATGGAGAGATGCTCAGCTCCTGGCTTCGGAAATGGAAGCTTAGAGCCAGAAGCCCAGATAAGGAGGCAGCCTTCAGGAGCTGAAAAAGGCAACAAACGGACACTCGCCCGGAGCCCCCAGAAGGGAGCACAGCCATGCTGATGCCCGGGTCTCAGCCCACTGACAGCTGTGTCAGAACTCTTGCCTCCAGGAACGCGTGAAACACACTTGCATTGTTTTAAGCCACTACGTTTTTTGTCATTTGTTACTGCAGAAATAGAAAACTAGTAAAATTTTAAAAAGGTAAGAAATGTGGAGTATATATTACAATGGAATGTTATCTAACCATTACAAAGGATAAAATCTTGCCATCTGCAATTACATGAATGGAAGGACCTGAGGGCATCAGCCTCAGTGAAACCAGTCAAACAGAGAGAGACAATTCCAGTATGATCGCAGATGTGTATGGAATCTAAAACAAAGGCAGAAACAAGCCAAGTTCACAGATGCACAGAGCAGACCGGTGGCTGGCAAAGACAGGAGGTAACGGATGGAGTGGAACGAGCGAGGTGTGTCCAAAGGTCCAGACTTTCCCAGTTACAGCCAGTCTGGGAATGTAACGCGCAGCACGGTGACTGCAGTTAATAGCACTGTGTGTGTGGAGGTGTTAAGAGGATAGATCTTAAAAGTTCTCGTCACAACAAAAAAAACCTGTAACTGTGTGTGGTGATGCTAACTTAACTGTGGTGATAATTTCACGACGTGGACAAATACCAAATCCCTACGCTGTCCACCTTGGACTGCTGTTACATGTCAATCATACCTCGACAAAATAAAATTTACAAAAAAGTATTAATTTTAGATGTGGTAATATTTATCTTTAAATAACTACTGAAACCTATACAGATCAAGTGACGTGATGTCTGGGATTTGCTTTGAAACTCTCCTGAGGAAGAAATGGGGGGTGGGGGATAGATGGAACTTAATCAGATTGACAAGTGTTGATGCAGGACAATGAGAACACAGGGGTACACTCTCCTTTATATGTTCGGTGTATTAGAAATACCCTATAATAGCCCTGGCTGGTGCGGCTCAGTGGATTAAGTGCCAGCCTGCAAACCAAAGGGTTGCTGGTCAATATCCATCCGGTCAGGGCCCAGGCCTGGGTTGTGGGCCAGGTCCCCAGTAGGGGGCACGTGAGAAGCAACCACACACTGATGTTTCTTTCTTTCTCTTTCTCCTTCCCTCCCCCTCCCCCCTACCTAAAAAATAAGTGAAATTAAAAAAAAAGTTGTACACTTTACTGAACGTAAATTCTATGCCCTTCCCCCTAAAAAAAGAAAAAAAGAGTGTTAAACTCCAGTTCGATACCCAAAACTATGAACGTCCAGTGTAGAGGGGAGGGTGGCTGTGATGCATGACAATATGACACGTCCGGAGGAGCAGGCAGAGGGACTGGTGTCATACGCAAGCGTCAGCACATCAGCACTGTTGGTCACAGCCTGCGACCACTGAGGGACCTAGAGACTGAGTTCTGACGCAGGAATTCCTGATTAGTATATTTCCTAGTGCAGGAGTTCACAGCGTCATTCTTTCAACTTTGCTGTATGTTTGAAAATTTTTGGAATAAAATGTTGGAAAGTAACTGGTGCCGAAGTAGACAAGTGTTTGTGTTTCACGGTCCGTGCTGGGGGCCAGCCCATGCTGAACCTCTTTTCATTGAAAACGAGTCTAGTGGACAACAGCTTTGGGGGCTATTAGACAACAAAGGGCACAGCAGCCCTCGGACAGACTGCATCGTTTCAAATGCTGTTTCCTCCTCTTCCTCCTCCTCCTCCTCACAAATCACACCCATTCGGTGCCTACTGTGTGGGGGCAGCACAGGGTGAAGAGGGCTCCCGGAAGCCAAGAGTATCAACAAATCATCCCCATGAGTAAGCGTGGGGCACCCGGACCTCGGCCTTCTCAGCATGGATACAGAAAGGAGGAGGCGGCATTCCGAACACCAAGCCAGAGCACAGACTCACCGCCTGCTCTGAAGGAGTGGAACAGGGAATGCCAGGACACAGGGACCGGCCAGAAGCACACGCCAACAGACAGGCAGGAGACGGAGCGTGCCCCGCACCCACCTGCAGCACGCGGCTCATCCACTGGAAGCTGTCCTCCTCGGAGGCGTCCGGCCGCTGCTCAGCCACAAGCACGATCCGGTCGTCATGCAGCACTGTCACAGAGAACACAGCAATCCTGGGGGAGGACGAGGACAAAAATGACCATCCAGCAAAGGACGCCAGAGGAGATGCAGACACCTCTTCTCACTTGAAGATGCAGAAGTGCTAGCGTTCAGAGTCAATGGAACAGGGGCTTTAAAAAGTAAGCATCACAATTCTTGAGAATTTAAAGTAACCAGTCACTAACCTTGTTGAGAATTTAAAAAGTAACCAGTCACGAATCTCCTCCAACCTGACAGAAAATTCACTAAAACCACCTGGTGCAAAGCAAAACCACCAGGCACACAGTTTAAAAATTTCCATAATGAAATGTTAATAATTGATACATTTCTCTGTATAAAAATCTTTGTCTAGAAATTCTATAAATTATATTTTTAATCCAACTGATTAAATCTCTCTCTCACTGAATTAATCTCCTTGTGTTTACTGGACTTCTCTCATCTTACTATTAAGAATTTCAATACGTTATCCTTTTCTCTTTCTTCTTTTAGACTTGAGACGACACAGCTCTTTCCTGTAAGACACGAAGCTGGTCTCCCCATCACACCACCAAGCTAGCTATTTTTTTTTTTTAAGATTTTATTTATTTATTTATTTATTTATTTATTTATCTTTAGAGGGGAAGGGGAGGGGGAGAGAAATATCAATGTATGGTTGCCTCTCATGTGTTCCCCTGCTGGGATTGAACCTTGGTTGTTTGGTTCCCAGGCCCGCGCTCAATCCACTGAGCTACACCAGCCAGGGCTCGTCTGAAGTTCTGATTCTGGGCCTGTATGAACACACCCTCTTGTCCTCTCCTGTAGCTGGCGTGCACACACTCTTACACAACAAACTTTACCCAGTATTAAATTTTCCTTACTTTCATATCTCTTGTAGCATTTCCTGAATTTGTTTCTTAGTACCCCATCTGAAAATATTTTCACAGAAATGATCTTTTGGTGACCAAGCTTCAGAAACATACAGACCCATGAATATTTTTATTTCAACTGCATAACTGACGTTTTGAATAAGTACAAAATCTAGGTTAAAAACTCCTTTTAAAAACTTGAAAGCATCACCGCACTGTCACCCTCTCTCACAAGTCCCAGCACGGGGAAGCCTGGGGCACGTGCCAGCCGAGCAGACAGAACCCCAGCTTCCCACTTTGCAGACACTCCCTCCTCCTCTCCCAAGTCTGACACCTGGATTTCCAGCCCTTCTTCCTCTCTCCCCATGTCTCTCAATTTTTCTTTAAAACTTTCTATTTCCTTCCATCTGTAGTAGTTTCTTACTCTGACCTTCCAGTTCGTCGGTTATTCCTCGGGCTGTATCTATCCTACTCTTTACTCCATCTATGGTGCTCTTTGTGTGCATAACTGTTATGGTTTCTTGGTCCCATTTGCTGTTACTAATACCTCAGTAGCACAATTGATCGTAGTTCTATTTCAGGAAGGTTGTGGTCTTCAAGCTCTTGCCTGGCAGGGACAGGCAGGCAGGCTCTGCTGCCCGCCTGCAGAGCAAGCGCCCCACACTCCAGCCAATCACCCAGCCTGGCACCGCCTCATCAGGCACCTGCTCAGAGCAAGGCCTTCGCCTCCGGATGACATCAGGTCCTGGTGGCCATGCAAGGAGGCAGTCTCTCTAATCCACCCCAGAAGAGCTACGGGCTGCCCTGGTGTAGCCCATGGACACCTGTGTAGCAGTGTACCCAGTTTCTGCTGTGATGACAGGTAGTGATCTCCTGGGATGCTCCAGGCTGCATATACCGACAAGACTACCTGCTGCTCCCTCCTGGGCGGCTACCCCATGCCCAGCATCCTTTCCTGGAGACAGCCAACAGCCCACACTGACCCACAATTTGGCAGATTCCCTAATGATTTCTTCAAGGCAGGATCTAGCCAGGCTCATGGGCACCCTAGTATGAGTAATAAAAGCGCCTCCTGGCAAGAATAAAATTTAAAAGTGCAGTCAGCTAAGCAGATCAACTAGGAGAAGGGGCTGCTTCTCACAGGACAGAGCTCAGCAGCTAGACAGGATCTTCCCTCCTTGCCCCCAGCCACCAGGGCCTAGGTCAGAGGCCCACTTATGTGCTCAGTGGAAATGAAAATCTCTGAAGTGCTGCCTGACACGTGCAGGAACTTGGACTGACTCTACTCCAGAAAGTAAGCAGGGTCTCTGCACGTCTCACTAAACCTCAGGAGAAAAAGAACTGGCCTTTGCCGATTGCAGAGAACATGGACAGGGCATTCCAATCTGCATCCGTGAGGCCACGCACACGGTCCCTCTGTGGTGTTGGTGCTGGACCCTGGGCCCAGGTATGCATTCAGACTGCATCATCTTAAGAGGACCAGTACTGGGAAAGTCTGGGGACAGTGAAGACACTAACTCTGCTGTCCTTGATCTGCAGGTGCCTCATTTTCCTTGTGGGAGTTCTCTGATGAAATTTTTAGATTTGCCTGTTCAAGTCACTGAGCTCTCCTTCCACTGTAAAGAGACTTCTCCAACCTCAAGTAGAGAAAGGACCGAGAGCCGTAGCACGGGGACCCGCAGCGCATCACCTGCCTCTGTAGACAAACTTCATGGGCTCCACAGCCAACGCGGTAGCCACGATGTCATCTGCATTGTGTCTGCGAACCCCGACCACCATCAGCCCGTCCAGCTTGCCCACAACGAAGACCAGGTTATCCTGAAGGCAATGAAGCTGGTCAGGACTTGGGATACACAGGCAGGGCCCGTGAGTCAGGCCCTGCTATGAGGAGCTGGGAGCACATAAAAACCAAGGCCCCACACTCAAGGTGATAGGCAAAACCCGGGGTGGGGCAACCATGGGATGAAGGGGCCCTACCGCTTGGTGGGCTCAGGTGGGGACCAAAGGGCATCCAGGGAGGGGGTTGGCACAAGGAAGGTCAAACGTGGGAACGCAGTCCTGGGTGAAGTTTGTGGAGCACTGTGAGTGTTGTAGGGCTACCAGCCCACTCATACTAGGGTGCCCATGAGCCTGCTACCGGGTTCTCAAGCCTGGCAGCAGTGACATTTTGGGCTGAGAGCTCTCTGGTGGGTGTTGTCCTGTGCACTGTGGGGAGCAGCGCAACACCCCTGCCTCTAGATGCCCACCACGCGCTGGCAGGGTCCCCTCCCAAGTGGTGAGCCCACAGGGGACCCGGGTCCTGGTGGTGTGACTACTTACGGGGCCAATGAAGCCCAGGAGCCCGGTCCTGGTGAAAGGCCTGTCAGAGACGGGTGCTCCTCCTGCAGTGACCGGGACGGCCTGCGCAGAGTGGGGAGGGGGATGGTCAGGCAGAGGTCCACAGATAATCAACCAGCAGTCCAGGGGTCAGCGGGCTGGTGGGAGAGCTCGGCCCTCTCACTGCCCGATGCCAGGGTATGGTTCCTCAGGTGGCGCTGTCACCCATGGTCCCCAAAGGGCAGGGGCTCCCCCAAGGGAGGAGTCTGTGAGGCTGACAAGATCCTCCCCGGGACCCCAGGCACAGCGTGGCCCCCACAGGCCCACGTTGCTGCTTTACCCCTTCATCCCCGTGCTCCCAGAGCCTGGCCCAGAGGAGCGGACACTCACTGGGCTCTCCCAACACCCCCACAACACCAGCAAACAGAGTACTGGCTTGCCCGAGCAGCCTCGATTCACATCAAAGCTGCAAAGGTGCCCCGACTCAGAGGTGACCCAGCAGAGCAGGTGCCAGGGAGGCTGACCCACCACCCACTGTGCCTGACAGACGTTCTCAGAACTGAATTCAACACGAAGTACAAACCTCGAAGACGTTCTTTGTGATCCCGAGCAGCCCATAGTACGCTGTGCCTGTAGCACTGGAGTCCACACATATTTCTCCAACCTCATCAGTTTTACAAAGACATGGGGCACCATCTATCTTCACAACACACACATTAGCTAAAAGAGAAAAAAAAACCTCAAAAGCATAAACACACTCACTGAAGTGGATCATCCACAAGAATCTACTTGCTGCCACTGGCTGCAGTCACAGAAACAGTCACATGTGTAGCATGTCCTTACAACGAGCTTTCTGACCGGTATCGGACACATCTCATCTGCTTATATCTCTGTATGTGACGTGCGCCAAGGCGAGCTGACACAGCAGTTCAGTACGTCCTCCCCTGTGACAGGCAGACACGCGGGCTCTGTGCGACTCGCCAGCACCGTGAGACGCTGGCTGACCTGGGTGCTTATAGGCACCACCGTGCACATCTGCTCCAAAGCCAGCTCCTGCTCCAGAGCCGGACAGGCCGTTTGTACCAGGGCTCTTCCTGCCATGCAGGCCTCGGTGTGGCCCCTCCCACAGCCCAATCACCCCTGTTCCATTTTCAGTAAGCATCAACTCTACCCCAAGCTCCCACCTGCTTCCTGCCCTTTGGCACTGGAGACCTTGTCTGTGTGCTCACTGCTGCCCCCCCAACCCTACCACAGAGCAGGCATCCAGAAACAGCCTCCAACAATGGAGCAAGACGCACACCAGGACGTGCAGTCTTCCATCAAACAAAACAGTCACTCAGCATGAATTCAACAGTCTGCAGTCATCGGGGCTATGTCCTGCCTTTGCTCCGTCTTGAATTTTTTTCCCTAATATGTTCTCACCTCCAAAGACGGGAACGAGGAAAAATTTGGGGGAAGCAATTAGTCATTTATTTCCGCTTGTGCACAAAGCCACCAAAGCCTCAGCAGAGAGAACGTTGGGGATGTTCACTAAAGGACTCAGCATTCATGTACCTCACTGAGCAGGTGGGCCTCAGCTCACATCCAGACACTCACATGAGGACAGACACCCCAATTTAAATCACGAAAAGGCACAACAGGTCAAAATTCACTTTGTATCATGAGTTTTGTATATCTGCTAAAAGTACCAATCAGTCTTCAACTGTCCTGGCCAATAGACACCACCCCAGGGGAGCACTATGCACACGCTCACGCCAGGGGAGCTCTGCATGCACACGCCCACCCCAGGGGAGCATTATGCACACGCTCACGCCAGGGGAGCACCGCGTGCACACGCCCATGCCAGGGGAGCTCTGCATGCACATGCCCACCCCAGGGGAGCATTATGCACACGCCCACCCCAGGGGAGCACCGCGTGTACACAGTCCCTCTTGTTCCACACTTTACTAGTAAAAATCAAATACTACTAAGTCACTTTTTTCATTCAGAAGAATCACGAAGACTATATTTTACCAATCTTTAAATAGTTATTGTGCTCTCTTTATAACTACTAAAAATATGTAAGACTCCCAATCTTTGCTTTTCATGAAACATTTCATCCTCATGTTTAAGTTACTATAGGACCAGTGAATCCACATTTATGGTACAATTATAGAACCAAAAAATCGTATTTCATCTTGAAGTGTACCTAGAAACAAAATGTGCATTTCCAGTCTGTTCTAAGAGTCCCAACTTCACACAGGCAAGGTCTGACATCCCCACTGTGGCTCTCCCGGGAGAGGCCCCCGGCCCCACGCCCAGTGGCTCACGTCTATGCACAAGTCGCCTGAGGAGGCAGACCCGCAAAAATGAGGGCCAGGATGCCAGCGGCCCACAGACCCTGCAGCCTCAAACACAGACACAGCAGCACTGGGGGAAGCAGGAGTGACCGACTGAGAGGTGAGAACCTGCCTCCAGAAGTCACCTGGGGTGGTCAGGACAGCTGCTGGTGAACCGCTGACAGCAAGGCAAGGAGGGCAATCGGAGCAGCTGCTACCGTGGGGGGTGACCTCGGAGTAGTGCATCCTCCCTCTCACAACTGTCAGCAGGGGCCCGCCGAGCCTGGCTCCGCTCCTAACTGCCCACGGGGAACTCTGCACCAGTGTCACTCTGCACCAGTGTCACTCTGCATGGCCTCGCTTGAAGAACCACAGGAAGGTGGCTCCACCACCCTCTCCTCCCTGCACCGTCTCGGGAACGGCAGGGCAGCCTCCAACAGCTCCTGTGCTGGGCAGGCCCTGGGCCTGATGCGCAGGTTGGCTCCCGTGGCCCTTCTGGAGCCCACAGGGATTTCTGTGAACCTTAATTTAAGGTCACACTCCTAACACACGTGCACTTTCATGACTTGCTGAGACAATCTAGTTGTCAAGTTACTCAGACACAATGGGGACAGTGGGGTGTACATCTCAATAGCACGAAGTGTGAAGACTGTGTGTGCCTGACAGCAGAGTGAGCTGTCGTCACGGTGCCCCAAACACGAGGGCTAGAAGTCAGGTTCACAAGCCATAAACACACTCTCGTATTGTAGCTCAACCTTAAACTTAATACAGAAGGAGAAAAAAAACGGAAAAAGTGTTATAAATTAAAATCCCACTTTACACAGAAAACCCTTTTAATGAATCTTTTACTTGTATGCTTCCAGATCACGCCTACAAAGCCTGGAGCTGGTATCACTCTGTCACGTTAATCAAAGGACAAGACATGTTCCAGGCGCCTGCCTCCCTTACCTCCAGGCATCACCTGACCAACGTCCTGAACAGTAAGGACTGACAACTTTTCTTCAGTGTCAACTCGGATCACGCCGTAACTGAGGCCATTCATCGACAGCACAGCTTTTCTTGGAGGAGGTCCTCCCAGGTCAGGCGGCCTAGGAGACAAAAGTACATTAACGGACAACGCAGACGGGACCGGGGGCCCACCTGCCTGCAGGAGGACGCCGCTCCACGGGCCCTGCGCTGCATCACACGGCAAAGACCCTGGCTGCAGGGCCACGAGCAGCGGACTGTCTTCCTGAAGACGCCACCGCCTCTCCACCCGATACTCTTCTCTGCAGTGGGACGGTGACACACCTCCCTTCAACTCCTGGGCCTGTGACGAAGGTGGAAGTGACACTAACTGACGTCTGAGGGAAGTCACAAAAGGTAATTCAGCTTCCACTTGCTTGTCCTGGAAGACTCACTGGGAGCCTGGGCCACCAGGTAAGCAGAATGACCAGCAGGAGAGGCCCTGGGGCTGCACACAGGAAGCCATAGCCCGGTGCAGACAGCATCCAACTGAAGGCAGCACCAAAGCCCCGAGCACAGAAAGCACGAGAGACAGTAACTGGCTGTTGCTGCTCTAAGCCACCACAGTTGAGAGTAATTTGTCATGCAGCATCAGTAAATGCAACACTCAGAAACACAGGTCATTATTTTTCCCAGCAAAACAACTACACTGACAAGCAAAAGAAATCAGCACAGATCAAAGGTATAAAGAATACTTCATGGTCTGTAAAGGATAAAAATGTTATTTTTAATGCTGTTATTATTAACATTTTAGAATTACTTAATGCTTGTACACGCTATGAACACACACATTATGAACACGAATGATGCACCACAACCGAGACTAATTTTCTGACAATGGAGTTGAAGGTGCCCTCAACTATGACACCACTGCCCTCTGCCCCAGGGCAGCTGGGCAGTGCTGGGGCAGTTGCGGACAGGAGCCACAGGGTGGGCAAGAGACAACCCAGGCAGGGAAAGTGGACCACGGGCATGGCTCTACCCCAGGATGGTGCTGGGGTGCCCATTCCTATGCAAACAGCTTGGGAAACTGGCACAGGATGGGGCACTGCTTCATGATGGCTACTGCTCAGAAACAAATCAACTGCATTTGGTACTGAAAGTAACGCAGCAGTAAGAGGAAGAGTTCAGTCTTTACCAGACACAAGCAATCAAGTTACCTGCGGATGGCGACCGTTAGTGCCTCCGGAGAACTGGCACAAGGACAGATGACCTCCGGCCTCAGGCCTCTGGACTGGAAGACATTGAGGAAGGCGTCACAGGAGGATATGGACCCTGCGTGAAACAGAGAGGGGCATGAAAGTAACCGCAAGGCTGACGGGCGGGGCTCATACCCACACGTGGGGCAGATGAGCTCCCAGGGATGGGCACTGCACAAGCTGACCTTCCACCCATTTCATGGTTAAACAGCCATGATGTGAGATGCTGTCACAGCACAGGAAGGCAAAAGCCTCAAGGAGAGTGGGGAGGACTGGGCTGTTTCCATGGGAACACACCTTTTCAAAACAACAGAAGTTTGAAATTTCTCATAGAAAACCTATTTCTAACTTCTGTGTTGTTTCTCAGATCTGACTCATGGCCAGCCCTGCCCCCTCCCTGTTCCACACAGCCTCACTCCATGTCCTCAAAGGTCTGGAGAGTGGGACGTGACCGAGGAGTGTTTATGAAGTTGAACCTTCCGCACCGCAGGCCCCAGGCCCCAGGTGCACGTGCACACCCTGAGCAGCGCTTGCCCAGTGACATCCCATGCCTCTCCTGGCAAGGCAGCCTACATTCTGTCCCTTGGTGTCATCCTGGCCCCAGTCTGGGGTACCACCAGGATGAAAACTCAGTTCCCAGGAGACTGGGTGCTGTCTGTGCAGGCCCCCAAGGCTGTACCACAAACCTCCAGCCTCTGCTGCGGAGAAGCCTGAGGAAAGGAAGGGACCTGCTTTCAGGTGCCCTCAAGTGCAGCCTGGTGCTGGACACCAGGAGACAGCAGAGGACAAACAAGGCCATCCAGACCAGTCAGGGTGCTGTGGAAACTGGGATGCAGTGGGGCAGGGCTAAGATCTGCAAAGGGTGCAGGGGCGGGGGGGGCTGCCCTGGGAGGGGCTTCCTGATGGGGGTGGGACTCAGAGGAGATGAAGATGGGGGCAGAGCTGAGACACCGCCAGGGAGTGTCACCTGATGACTTGGACACTTGGAGTCAAGTGGAGCAGCAGCCTGGCCAGGGGCATGGAGCAGAAGCAGAGAAGTGAGCAGCACCCAGGTGTTCTGTAGGCTGGGCGCAGGGACCCACTGAGCTCAGGTGTGGACGGAGGGAACTAGAGGCAGGGCACTAGAAGGTGAGGTGGTCTCCTTCCTACTCGGGGGTGTCAGAGTTACACTGGACAGGGGATGCGGTGACAGGCTAGACTTTGGTCAAAGGCTCTGAGTGAACCCACACGGATTTCTATGGTAACCCCACCAAGGTCCACTGAGGCTCCCCAGAAGACGCCCTGTATCAGGCCCCGGATGGGCCTCAACAAGTAGCCACACTCAAGACCCACAGAATCTGGGGTGCATGGCTGCACACTAGGGGGTTTGCACCACAAGGACCAGTGCAGGGGGTAGTGGGGGAGCACTGGGCCAAACAAAGGGCTCAAGAGGCTCCCAATCCACATCCACGTTCTGGTCACTGCTTAAGAAAGACAACTCTTTTAGACATGTCCATTCTTCCAACTGCATTAAAATTGCTTTCAAATTCAGTGGCCAAAACACATGCATGAGATACACCAACAAGAGGCGACATGGTAGAGACCATCATAAGACACTCACTCTCACTGTTCTGGGGACACCATGGGCCCAGCCCTGGTCCAGGGCTTACTCACATGGGTTGGCGCCGTCAGCCACGATCAGCATGCGCAGGGAGCTGAGGCTGACGTCCCGCTGGCCTCGCTGAGCCAGGAGAGACCAGTGCATGTCACGGGACTTCACCACCGCTGTCTGGGCTGCAGGGGAACACAGTCGTGAAGGCAACGCCCCCACGTCCTACAGACCCACCCGCGGTGCCTGCTGCCAGGCGTGGTGCACACACATGGGAGCACAGACACACACCTGTACTTCGGGCCACACCCTCTCCGAGTTCCATTCGTACTGTAACTGGCTCTAACCTGTTTTACTTAGAATCAACTTTGAGGTCTGGTTCTGGTAACATAAACTCAGATCCATTTTCAATTTTGATTTTCTCTCAGAAGCTCGATCCTGCTCTTTCCCCATCTGCCTCCTCTGCCTCGTCCAGCCCTCCCCAAGGTGCCGCTGCATGTAGCCGCGTGGCCAGCAGGAGCCTCCAGGATACAAGGGCTGTGCACAGACAGACTCAGCCTTCGAGCCCGGCTGTGCTAGTGGGCAGCACCCGTGCATGGCTTCAGTGGCTTCAATGGCCTCACCCAGAACTCCACGCTCCAATCTTCCTCAGTAAAACAGATGAACAGAGACGGCTACCCCCTCGAGGCTGCCCTGATGACAGTCCATCAGAGCACACGCCCCATGTCCACACTCAGTAACTGGCAGTACTGGCAGCACAGGTAGAAAAGCAAGCAGGCTATCCAGGGTGGCTCAGTGTGAACGCAGACCCTAGGCCCAGGCTCGGGGGTCCAGGAAGGTGTCCTAATGCTCCGCCAGAGCAGAGCCACTGAGACGGCCAGACTGTAGGTGTGACTGAAGGTGGAGGGCGGGGCGAGGCCCCACTGACAGCTCACAGACGTCGGCCTGAATAAACAGCTTTGCTGCTGGTACCCTGCCAAGCCCTATGGAAACGATCTCAAATACTAAGAATTGATGTGATTATAAGAAAAATTCCAAGAAAATAAAATGAGGAGCCTCCGGTCCTTTCAGGAAAGAGCTGTCACTGAGCAGCTCAAGGTGGCGAGGCCTTGTGCACACAGGTCACGACCGCCTGCGGCCAGCACTGCCACAGATGGTCTCAGACCTGGTCACGGTGCAGGCTGGCCGTCGGGGCTCCTTAGCCCACGTCTGCAATCTGCAGGTTGGATCTATTTTTTCTTAATCACCAAAGATTAATTAAAAAAGACTTCTTTAATGAAGGATGAATCGAGAAATGATGCTAATTCCTTTACCTTTATACAAACACACTTTCTGAATCCAGGAGAGCGGGTTCACCTTCATCAGTGCGTACGGGATGCTGATCACGTGCATCTTGTTCATGACGCTCTGTGGAAGACACTGGTGCTCAGGGCAGGCCTCGCCTGTGTCCACACTGCAGGGCACTAAACCGTGCCGATAGCAGCAAAGGTAACATCAGTGCTCACAACACTATTTCAGTTCAGATATATGGGTCACGTGAATCAGCAGGACTAGAGGGTTAATTACATCACTTTAAAAGTAGGGTTTGGTGTCACATATTGATATGAAACATCAGAAATCCCTCATTCCAACAATTAGATCATTTAGCATCAACACTCACTGTTAACACTCCATGCCACAGACCAGCATCCCTTTTGAAATCCAGCACATTTGTTAGTGTTTCAGCTGAAAGTGGACAAACACGGTTAAACCGCTGAGTGAACCTCTTCACAAATCACATGCACTTTTAGAGAATCTCTGACATGAGCACATCATCGACATATTAGAATTTTAAGGGACATACAGCATTTCCAAATACCATGCACTAATTCACCAATCATCTTGGTTATCTATTCAAATTACTGAAAAAAAAAACATAAAAGTAGGTCATACAATTTTTGGATTATAGCGGACAACTATGCTGGCACCACCTGAAAACAAAGGAACAGCCTCTGGCTGAGAGGCTGAAGGAGGCTGTCACACGTTTCAGCCAGACTGTGGCTGATCTCATGGGTGCTCTGACTTCTCAGCTTTACATCCAGTTCCCCGTTCTCACCCCCAAGGACACTGCCCTGCATCTCTGAGAAACATCACACGATGCTCACGTCGCTTCCCTTTTGAAAGCTGTGCCTTGTCTCCTGCCCACTTTCCCCTCAGGAGGCTGTGATGATAGGTAGCAGGAGCGCACAGGAGCCCCCAGGTTTTCCAGCACAGCCCTGAACTCAGCGCTCCTGGCCGTGTCCTCTGCGGGACCTAGATCCAGACCTTACACCAAACAGGGGACAGAGCCTGCGCAGAAGCAACTCTGGCCCCACACGGAGGGCCACAGCAAGCCCTAGAGCGCCACACAGGAGAAATACCCCTGGTGAATATGGAGAGCTGGGCTCTGTGCCAGGATACTGCTGCGTCCTGAATAAGCGTGCTGCACAGGCTTCCTGATCAGCTACGGGGCCAATCACAGGTGACATATATAAGGTCAGCACTGGGTCTGATGCAGAAAACCAAGGGACATGAGTGACAGGTCTAATTTTTAAAAAATTATTCAGGCCCTTGAACATATCTAAAATCCTCTTCCAAATCTCTGCTGGAGTCTTCAGCTGTGCCCTCCACTACCCTTTGCATTTAAACACCCATATCTTAGATATTGAAACGTGCTACACAATTTGCTTTTCTACTTTTGTCCATGTATCCTAATGCAAAGAACACTACCATGCACACGTTTTTATAGTTTTTGGAATCATAGTTCTCCAAGTTAAATATCTAATATTTAACAGTGCATGTGCATCAAGACACAACCTATAAGCACAGACTCCATCTGCATATCCGTGTGCAGGACAGCTTAACCTCAAACCACAAGCATATAAAACAAGTAGAAAAGTGTGTCCCAATAAGTCAGTTTTCCATTTCTTTTCATTGTAAAATGCACTGCCTCTCGGCTCCGTTGCAGGTTGAACCAGCCCACTGGGCATTGATGAACTGGTGGGAAACAGAACACACACTACATATATCAACATACATGTGCGTTTATTGAAAAGGGCCCACTCATCCAGCCAAGCAGAGCCCTGAGCACGCTGGCACCTGGAGCGACCTGGATTAGCGGGCAGGTCCTGCCCAGGGGTGGATCCGACGCCCTCGGCAACAGTTCCCAGGTGCCCTGTGCGTGGCTGGGAGAGCCATCCCACACTCCCTTACCTTCTGAGTAGCCACACGCCTGGGTCAGAGCCCGGCACTGTGCCAGCAGGGACGCGTGGGACACTGTGATCCCCACTGTGCTGCCTTCTTTGCTGGTTTTATACTGAAAGATTTCAAGAAGGAAAAAAAAAAAAAGGCCATATGTGATGTTTCTGGAGGCCAGGGCAGAGAGAAGGGAGGCTGACAGATTTCAGGGAGAAGAAGCTGCCGGCTGTCTCTCCCTCACTAACCAGCCCATCAGACTGGAGAGCACTTCATTCCCTGGCCCTCAAGGTGACAGCCTCAGATGGAGTCAGGGCTTGCTCTGGGCAGGTGCCCACATCCCCGGGGAGCCAGCGCAGGGAGATTGGGAAAGAGTGAAACTGAAAGGACCTGAGGAAGTTTCCATATGACACTTCACTGGGCTGAACATAAAACACAAGTTTTAGCCTAAACTAAAAAAAACTCAGCAGCTCACATTCAGGTGAAAACAAGACCTAACCCGCGGGCCTGAACAGTGCATTCTGTGTTCGGAGAGCTCATTACCTCTATGTAGGCGGTCCGGGATCCTTCGTCCTGGGCCAATGGGTGCCAGTCCTTGGGGGGCTTAGTCAGATGCTTCCCATCGATCACCAGCCAGGTGAGGGGGGGCCAGCCTGTGAGGGGGCCGCCAGGGGACACAGTCAGGTGAGTGTCAGAGGAACAGATGTCTCAGTCTCATTTAATTCTTACTCAATTCATCTTAAACAGCAGAGATCTAGACCCTGAACCAGGTAAGAAGCAAGATCCCCCAAGCCCTCAATCACAGACTTTACCTTGCTGAAGATGCTTTAGCCTCTGTAAGTTTAACTGCCCGAAAGTACTGGAGGACCCGGTTTAATACGGAACACAGACTCCACTTGCCCCAGGGACCCACCTTTGAAAGCTGCCACCTCTCCCGTCTGTGCCTTGGGTAGGCCTTTCTGACAGGCATCGGTGGTCAGGGCCAGGGCAACGCCACAGCTGCCCAGCAGAAACCCGATCTGCTGGCTGCCGGCGTCCTGCACAAGACAGAGCGAGCAGGGAGGGAGTCGGCACAGGGCCTTCACCCCGCGAGCCCACGCACAGGACACAGAGTGCTTTTCCCCGCCCCTTGTAAAACTCCTGGAACAACTCAATTCTAAATAGCAGCGATTTTCAACGTGTGGACCACAAGAATTATAAAACACGCAGTACCTGACAATGTAGCCAGGGGCACTGACCTCATCTCCCTTAAACCGTCAAATTAAAAAATGACAACAGCCAATACAGCAAGAGCCACCTGGTGTGAGTGAATTAAAATTATACCTAATATTTTGTCAGACTGGCAAAAAATATATTTTTTGGTGGGCTACAGAATTTTAATAATTAGTTTATATGTGCCATGAGATGAAAAAGGTCAAAAAATTGCTGCTATGTGCTGTATTTTCATGAAAATAAAGTACAACTGGTTTTAAATTTAAAAGATACATACATTTTTGCAGCAAAATATTAAGTTCAGATAATGAACTAGTTTCTCAAAGTTTTTTTCTTGAGAATAACAGTAGAATTTTAATAAACTCCAAAAATAATGAACTTTCACTGGATTTGTGTTGGCAATTTACAGGCTAATCCGAGGAGGCCTGACTTTAACAACACCGATTATTTCCACACAGAAATGCACATTTCCTCCTAGGTTATTTTTTATCTATGTCCCTTGGTGAAACATTATCATTTTCTTCTCACAAATCTGACGACTCTCTAGTTTCTCTCTAGCATTCCTTGTATCCAAGTATCTGTCATCAGATATTATCTGCGGAAATGTACTGGGTTTATTTGCAAACTTTGCTTTTGAGATTCTTGAATATTTGTTGCTGACGATGGTCACGTTAGAACTGCCTGAATACTGGGCTATAATAGAAAACTCTTGATTTTGGTTTTGAAAAATGCAACAAATGGTTTTGAAACCATTTGGTTTTGAACATATGGTTTTGAAAAATGCAACAAATTATATTCATCAGAGAAAAAATGCTCAAAGCGGTGCTGTAACAGGTAGATCTACAGCTGTCCTAAGTGGCCTTTCTCCCCAACAAATTACAGTAAAAAAGAGTATCTGTAAACAAAATTACACCTGCTGACCACTCCCTAGAATGAAGAAGCGAGGCACCCAGAACTGCCCTGTCAGCTCCATAATAAAACCCCGTGGAACCCGAACCCACGGCCGAGGCCGAGCTCGTTACCTTTCTTGTTAGTGGCACTTCTATGGGGACAGGAACCAGCTCTGCCAGGAGACACCCATAAAACGCAACCATGAACATCACAGGGTCACTGTTGGGAAACACCAGCGCCACCTACGCAGCACAAAGAACAACCATGGACTCAACAGGAGAATGCCCACACCATTCCACTTTTGGGGTGTCTGCTGGTGAGACAAGATTGAGACGTTTAGGTTATTTTATAACCTTGGGGTTAACTCCTGGTTCTTAAATCTCCTCAACATCTAACTTTTAATAAATCGTTTTCATGTTGAGGTCTTTACTCCACATACAACAAAATAACTTTCTGAATGTAAAGACAGCCCAGCACAGGTCTGGCTGTGCCCATCCACTCTACCCACACGGGCGGCAGCAGCTCAGGGACCGACCATCCCCACTACCAATCAGCCCAGGTGGAAAACACCTGTATCAACATGAAACGTGAATGAGAAATCAAATTACATCTAAAACAGCTTCCAAAAGAAAAGATCCTAACACCAAAGTTTTAGTTGGACAGATCTCCACAGGGAAGGGTGGTGGGCAGAGACCCTCCCCCGAGTCCCTCTCCCCACCTGGTCACTATGCTGCTACTGATTAAATTATATGTTCTATTTTTATCTATCAAAACATTTTAAATATCGAATTTAAAATGACCCCAAAAATACTAATGGAAAACAATGCCGACCCCAGGCTTTACCCTGCCTCATTCCCCAAGGCAAACAGTTTAAAATATTTTACATCTTCCTATGCTACTTACTTTCATATTTCAAGTATTATGCTTACCCTGCTATGTTTCATCTCTTGAAAATTTTAGGTACTAATTTTAGTTCCTCTTATTACAGACAGTATTTAGCCCTCCTCTCCCACCCCTTCTCTTCTTCCATCATCCCAATTTCTATTTCTTTTAATAATCTGGTTAAATGAAAAGCTATTTGAGGAATAAGATTTTTGTAAGTTCCAAATAGTGCAAGTGTGCTTGAAACTGTAGTGATAAATCAGATTATTTCGTAGACTATTAACAAAGGCCTAGGAACACAAAACAATGGATAACTAATAAATGCGCACTTCATAAGGCAAAATTTAAGCTATATCTGTATTTATTCCGTAAATTTGATCAAGTTCTAACAATCAAGTTCTAACAAGTCTGTTGAAAAGGGCAAAGCTCTCCTTCTACAGTTGAGTGAGCAGTGACTGTCCCAGAGCTGTGACCATGGCCCTGTGCCTAGGTTTTCAGTGTAGAGAATCTTTTGTAAAACAGAGGTGTTTGTCCACCTGTACATAGCATGTTATTGATACACAGGAGGATAAATTTGCCACCCATCTCTGCTAAGTAACTAACTGTGACCATGTCAATCTTTTTATAATTATTTATGTGGACTCTTTAGCAAGTCAAGAAAATCTGGAATTCTTTATCCTAGCAAGGATTTTCTTCAAGAAAAATAAATTAGTGATTCTTATACGCATTTTAAAGTACAACATAAATCAGGGATTCTTTCAGACTCCCTTAAAGCACTACGCATCATGAAGTAGCATTCTCGTACAGTTCGCACTCCCTCAGCCAGGCAGACCTCTCCTTTCCTCCTGGTGGTGTCAGCTACCAGCACTCCTGCAGGTACCACTCCCTACGCAGGCACAGGCCAATGTGCTCTGAAATGCCCCATCACGTATGTAAGTATCTATCAATAGTATTTTCAAATAACTAGCCAGTCAAGCGAACTCATCAGGAGTTTCAGCAGCTGCAGACCAGCCCCAGGCCCATCCAGGATCCTCTGTCACCCTAGTCCTGGCTAGACTGCCCCTGGTTGGCTGCCAGCAGTCACCCGGAGACTGCCCTGTGGCTCTCCCGTTGGAGCCCTCCTCACTCATTCAGCTGAAGCACATTCTCTAGGAACTTTCCAAGAAAGTATGCTTGGGACTCCAGTATTTTTTGAGTCCTGCATGTCTGAAAACGGTTCCCCATCCTTACATTTGCTGAACCTTCAGGAACTGAACTGTAGGTTAAAATGAGAACCCCTCTGAACTCCTGAAGTGCCATGCTGTCTTCTCCAGTCTGACTGCCGTCCCACACGGCTCTGCACCCTGACCTTGTGCAGTAACGTCATTATGTGCTCACGTGCATTCTGTGGGGTTAGTGTCCTTTCACTTTGAAGCATGTGCTCTTCAGCTCCAAAACACTGTCTTGCATTACTATCATCACTGAAAATTTTCTACAATCTCCTTTCTCTTCTGGAACTGCTGTTAGTCAGATGTTGGGCCTTCTTGATCAATTCTAATTTTTGCACTATTTTTCCTTCCATCTCTCGGTCTTTCCCACTAGCATATTTTTCTTGATTTATTTTTCTTCATCATAGACTCTAGGAATATTAATAATAATTTTCTGAACATTAGTTTTCTGTATCTAGCTTTTCTCCAAGTTTCTTCTTCCTCCCAACCTCCCTTCCCCCCTCCCTTCTCTTTCATTTCTTTGCCCTGAAACTCTGTCAGCTTGTCAACTTAGTTTCACTGTTGAGTGATCTGACCCTAGGAAACTTTTCTCACTAAGGGATTTCACTGGTATATTGATTTCTCACTATGTTCTCCAGTTTTCCATCCTGTAACTTCCACACCAAAGTGCCTCAAGTCTGGCTCACTTTCCGATAACAATGCTGTGCAACAGAACTTTCTACAATGATGGAAATGTTCTATTTACGAGCTATCAAATATGGTAGCCACATATGCCTACTGAGCCATTGCAATGTGGCTCATGTGACTAGGGAACTAAATTTTTCGTTTTATCTAATTTTGATTAATTTCAATAGCCACACACGGCTACTGGGGCAGCACAGGACAAGGAACTAAGCAGCCGACCTCCTCTGCACCGTATCTGGGCAGGCAGGTGAGAGGGAACAGGGAAGCAGGTGAATGTAAAGCACACAGAATTTCAGAGTAAGGCTGTTTCCTCATAAAACTTAAGCTTTGAAAATTGAACATTTATTCAGATGATATTAATATTTTTATTAAAATCAACATATACGAAGTCAAAGATAAAAGAAGTTTAAAAATCAGTGGATAAGCAATGAGAACAAAAAGAACCATCATTTATCTACTTCAGCATAACCTTTTCCCATATTTAGTACTTTCTCATGCTGACTTTAAATCCCTTAGATTATTGCTGTAAGTCTAACCGGCTGATAAAACACTGATTTCAATGCAACAGATTTTTAGAGTCTCTGTTTCTGCTCATTCCAATAAAGTCACATTCCAGTTACTTACTCTGTCTCCGGGTTTAAGCAGTGGCTCATTCTTACTAGTCAGTTTATTAAGGAGAGTATACGCTAGTTTTAAACTTCGACTCCAAAGTTTGCCTAAAATAAAACAAAAATACTAAGCAATGTGAAATTTAAACTAATAATTAACATTTTAATAACTATAATACCCCATAATGTACTATTACTCAATTAATGAAAATTCAGGTAGTTTCCAAGTGATAACTATTTTGCACAATGCTGTAATGAACTTCACAGTTTTCTCTTAAAGACACCTTATATACTTACATCCCTAACACCAAAATAATACAGAATTTCATTACAGAAAATTTAGAATATATGAAAGCCAGCAGAAAAAAACGTAGCATTCTTTGTTATGTATATGCATATACAACACATGTATACACATACACACATATACACATACATATACACATGTATGTGGAATTTTCAAGAAATGAGATCATACTCCACCCTGCTTTCTTCAATCAACATTGCACTGTGAATGCATTTCTTCAATTACATCCCTTAAAATTCATATAACCTTCACAACGATTCATGAGGTGGCTCCTATCTTCGTCTCTACTTGTCACTCAAGACAAGACCAGCAGGGAGATGTTAGTAACTGCCCAGAGCCCTGGCCGCCAGGGTGGTGCACCCAGATCCTCAGGACCCAGAGCCCCTCAGCCCTGTGAGATCCTGCCCAACACATCTCCCCTCCTGGCATGCGGCCTCTACTGCATTCGGCAGCCAGAACTAGTGAACGGTCAGCAAAGATGAGCTGCACTGAGGAAGATGAGAGAAGAGACCAAGGAAAAGTAAACAGGACTGCAGGGGTTTGGGGAGGGAGACAGAGGCAGCGGTGATGATGGGGCAGGAAGACAGAAAAACCTCAGTCCATCCCCGACAACGGGAGCAGCCTTAAGCTTTACCCTATGAAGAATACCTAACAACAACACCAGCACCCTGATTCAGCCCCTCTCAAGTTCCTGGGACACAACCACATGCATGCAGTCTGAGCAGCCATGCCCTCTGAATAAACGCTCAAATTTAATATTAAATGCAGGTGCAACATTGTGAAGTAAGTATACTGTGGGTCTGGAGACATTAATGAGAAAAAAATATTCAACTCACAACATGCTGTTGCTTTTGTCTATATAAAATGGTCGGCTAAAGATCTTAATAATTTTAATACATACAGATCTGTAAACTGAATCCAGCTATAATAAATTTTTAGAAATGCATCCTGACCAAGGTAGTTTTATCCCAAGAAAGTAGAGGTTTAACATAAAATCAACATAACTCACATTAGAAAATAAAGGTGAATTAAACAATTTGACAATCATTCAAGATTTTAAAAATCCTTCTTAAGTTTAGAATGAAAGGAAACTTCCTTAATGCAATTTTTAAAGACCATCTTTAAAATTCCCATCAGAGCCCTGGCTGGTGTGGCTCAGTGGATTGAGTGCCAGCCTGAGAACCAAAAGGCTGCTGGTTTGATTCCCAGTCAGGGCACATGCGGGGGTTGCAGGCCAGGTCCCTAGTTGGGGGGGCGGGGGCGGGGCGTGCAAGGGGCAACTGATTGATGTATGTCTCTCTCGCACATTAAGGTTTCTCTCCCTCTTTCCCCTCTCTCTAAAAATAAATGAACAAAATCTTCTTTAAAATCCTATCAGAGATATAATAATTAATGGTCAGATACTGAAGCCTCCCCTATGAAAGCAGAAGCCAGTGAATAACGTCTGCCATTTTCCAAAGTCCTAGCCAGTGCAACTGGCAACGGGATCCATAAAACAACTGGGAACAAGTAAAACTGTCAACATCTGCAGATGACAAGACTATGTGCGTTGTGAATTGAAAGTAGCAAGGCTTCCGGATATGACAACAATATACAAATACCGTTTGATTTCTACATGCCAGTAATATGTAATAAAATAAAATTTTAAATAACTCTTAACAATAAGATTAAAATAAATATGCCCAATACCTAAGAATAAGTGTTAAAAAATCATGCAGTTTTCCCACAGAAGATGGTAAAACATCACCAGCACAGAGTGGGAAGGATACATTATATCTGCGTGCTGGCAAAGCTGATACCACTCCTCAAACTTTTCAAAGTGATGATAACCCAAATCTCAAAAGGTGCGTCTGTGGCACTCGACAAGCCGACTCTAACACTGACAAAAACACACGGCCGCCGGCAGCCAAGACACTGCTGGAGAAGGAAACATGACGGAAGACTTCCTCCTCAGATGTCAAGACATCGTAAAGCTGCAGTAATTACGAGAGCATCGTATTGACACGAGGATGGAGTAAAACATCAATGGGATAAAACAAAGAGCTACGGTACAGATCACCTCTGTGTGCCCAACTCCCTTTGTGACACAGTGGCAATGCAGAACAATGTGGCACCATGGAGATGAGAACGGGACGACTGGCTATCTTTTTTGAAAAACCGGTACCCATCTCCCACAGGCCACACACAAAAAGCAATTCCAGTGGAGAGCAGAAGTAACTGTGAACGGCAAAACAACAGTGCTTTCCCCACATAAAAGAACAGCTTCATGACCTTGGCCTCGCATACAAAGCATGAGCCAAAAAAGAACAGGAAGGTGAAGTTGGACAAAGCTTCTATTCACTAAACTGCCATTCGGGGTAAACATCCAAGTGCCACAGGAGGAGACCCTTGCAGCACATGGCGCTCGCAAGACTAATAGCCAGAACACATAAAAATTCCCGCAAATAACCCTACACAAAAAATGAGCAGCCCCAGCCAGCAGCTCCGTTTGTTGGAAGGCCACCCTGTGCACCAAAAGGCTGTGGGTTTGATCGCCAGTCAGGGCACACACCTAGGTTGTGAGTTAGATCTCTGGCTGGGCATGTACCAGAGGCAACCGATCAATGTTTCTCAAGTCAATAACTACATTCTCAGGTGAGGACAAAAAAGATGTGTAGAAGATTCAGTAGTAATTAAAAACAGAGAAAACCACACATTAAAAGAACAGGAAAAGATCTTGACATACTTAACCATCAGGAAAATACAAATTAATACCATCATGAAATACCACCGTGTTCTCACCAGTTAGCTAAAATTAATTACCCTGACAATGACAGGGATCAGGTGGGACTCACACCGTGATCAGGTAAGCATGAACTGGCAGAATCTGGCATTTTCTGATAAATATGAACATAAGTTCAATCTCGGACCTGGCATCTCCCATCCCAAGTTCATGCCCGACGGAAGTGCATGCTATGTGCTAAGTGGTTCACACTGGAACGCTCCCAGCAGCAGCAGTGGAACCGCCGACAATGGGAATGACCCCATGCCCACTGGCAGTACATGGACACGCAGCTTCTGAAATGTTTCTTTTTCAACGGAAATGAATGAGTAACAGCTGTACACAATAATATGGGTGGGTCTTAAAAGCATAAAGTAAGAGACTGTGCTTCCAAGTAGGAGAGAGGTCTGGCGGCAGACCAGCACTCCCGCCCAAAATCATTTTAAAAGGGGATAAAATGCAGAAACTATCTGGTGGAGGCAGCCAAGGAAACCAGAGGAGGTGAGACTCCAACGAGAAAACCTCTGGGGAGACAAGCTGACCTTCCACTGTGGGCACCCGCAGGAGGAGGAGCATCTCCGAGCCCCATGCCTGCGGAGCTGTCACAGGGGCACAGAGGACACAGCAGAGCCTTCAGCAGAGATTGGGAGCCTCAGAGCACAGCCAGCTTCCTCCGAGAAAATCTGCGGGACCTCGGGACTGTGTGCAGCAGGAGCCCCAAAACCCATGTGGAGCACCCCTGAGAGCAATGTGGGGCCTTATGTAGCCAGATCAGACAAAAGCCATGGATGGGGACTCTCCCAGAGGAAAGGGACACACAGGATACACCAGGCACAGCCAGGTCCCTGGGGGCCAGAGGTGGACTGAGCAGGCCTTGACTGGACTGCAGTGACCACCTGCCTAGAGGAGGGAAGGGGGAACTTTATTGCAGAAGGTGACAGTGTTTGGAGCCTCCGTAATTTTTATACACGATGTCCAACATTCAGTCAAGAAAGGTACTAGGCACCCCAAAACTAAGTCCCCAGACCCAAGCCGAGAGAAAGCACAGACGGGAGGAACAGCTCGGGGCAGCCAGGTGACGCCTCCAGCTACTGCGGGCAATGTGTGTGTGCAAGGCCGTGGAGGGACAGAAGAGGGAAGTGCAGGGAATGGCAAAGAGTTACTGCAGAGAATCAGAGCGGGAATGAGAACAAGAAATAACATTTCTAAACTATCTCCTAAATTAAGAACTCAGCAGAAGTGTCACAGTAGGCTAAAGTTCAGAAGACAGGGTTAGAGAAATTCTAAAAAAGAGTATCTCCAAACTGAAATACATACAAGAGAGAATGCGAAGTATAAGAACATTAAAAGCACGTGGAACTCAGAGCGGTTCAGAGCCCCAGGAGGAGAGGAAATGGGAAGAGACTGGATGACAAGAGATTATGGATGCAATTTCCCCAAAACTCAAGAAAGACACCATTTCATAGATTCAAAAAGCCCTGTGAATGCCAAGCAGGAAATTTCAAAGAATATCACACCTAAATATATCGTAGTAAGGCGGATGCAAGACAAAGAAAAGGAAATTTTAAAAAGGCAGTGGGGTGGGGGTGTGGATAGGGGAGAGACACATTAACAATAGTCTGGCTACTCAACCAATAAAATAAATGGAATATGAATATTAAAAAAAACAATAGTCTGGCATGTTATTCACAAAAGACAGTATGATGTCTTAGGCGTGCTGAAAGCAGAGAAATGGCCACCATCAAAAATGAAAATAAAACAAACTGCTGCCGGACAAGCAGAGACTTCTTCCTCAGCAAACCCACAGTAAAATGAACATGTACACAGGGAACTTGCCACAAGGAGAGGCAGGAAACACAGGATGGCAAAAAGGGGACCGTGTGACAAAGGGAAAAATAAAGAACATGACTACTGACTTGAGACAGCTGTGGAACGCCCCGTGGGTAGAAGTGAAAGAAGGCGAAGTGCAAGAAAAGGAGGATGCAAGGGGGCAGGTGGGTTCTTCGAAAAGCAGACAGAGAGACAGAGTCAGGCAAGAGTGAAGCCTGGGAAGGGATAGGGGCAGTGCGATCAGGCGGGAGACGACGTGGCCAAGTCTTAGCAGGCCCGTGGGAAGATCCAAAGGAGATGCTCAAAAGGGGGGCCCATACTGAGCAGAAGCACCAGGTTCAGTACCATCACCCTGCTTACCCCCTCCCTGCCTAGGGCTTACCCCTCACAGAGTGTACAGCAGATCCGAAAGCCAATTTCAGGCTCCTTGCGAGCAGGCAGTGAGTTCCTTTCTCAAAGAATTAGACTAATCTTTCTAATGAACACATACACAGGATCCTTAAAAACACAGTGGCAAATCAAATCCAGGCATTTATTAAAAAGATATCATAGCCAAGTGGGATTTACTCTAGGAATGCAAGTACTATAAATATTTGAAAATGAATCAATGTAATTCATTAAATTAATGCAGGAGGGGAGAGAAAGAGTATGATCATCTTGACAGAGCAGGAAAAGCACTTGATAAAATCAATGTCAATTCACAATGAAAGCCTTTTAGCAAACTTGCAGGAATAGAACTTCCTTAATCTGACAAAGAATTTTTCCCATACAACAAACAAACAAAAAGTCAGCAAACATCATTACTTCGTGACTGAAGGTGGAGAGGGAGGTGGGAATGCCCACTGTTCCCTCGGCATGGAAGGTTCTAGCTGGTGCGGCAAAGCAAGAAGAAACAAGAGGGGTAAGTGCTGGAGAGGCCGAGACGGCACCGTCACTATCCACCGCAGACTGATTTCGTGCACTGGACAACCAAAGACACATGGACAAACAATGAACAAACAAGAAAATAATTTATCAGTTACTTGAGCAAGATACAAAATCATCATTTTAAAAAGTCAATTGCACTTACATATACAAACAAATGAGAAGAAAACATTTTTAATCATTCTATTGCAGTGAGATAAATAACGAAAGAAGCTCCAAAAGTTCTGTATTCAAAAGTAAAGTACATTACTAAGAGAAATTAAAGGTTTTAAAAAGGGAGGAAATATTCTAGTGATGAATCAGCTCTCTTCAAACTCAAGTACAGATTCGATGCAATGCAATCATTATCCCAGCAGCACTTTTTCTAGAAACTGACAAGCTGATTCTAAAGTTTACCTGGGATGCAAGGGGTCAGGTAAGAGGATATCTTTCTGACCTTGGCTTGGTAAAGACTTCCTAAATAGAACAAAAAAGTACAATAAAAAGAGAAAAAATAGCTAAATTAGGCTACATTAGGTCAAGACTTCTCATTTACCTAAAGCCACAATTAAAAATGTTTAAAGGCAATACAAAGAGTGGAAAAAGTTACTTGCAAAACATGTATCTGAAAAGACTTGTCTGTGAAATGCACAAAGAAGTAAGAAAACATTAGCAACTGAATAGAAAAATGAGCCAAAATTTTGCAGAGTTCATAAAAGAATATTCAAATAGTCAACAAGCATATGAAAGCATTACCAGTCATCAAGGAAATGCGGGAAATGCAATTAACACCATAACCGGCACCGCAACACACTTGCAAGAAAGGCTAAGATGAAACAACGCCAGGTGCAGGAGGGGACACAGAGCACCTGGAACTGCACACACTGCTGGTGAGAGACCGACACCGCCCTCAGAAAGCGACCCGGCAGAATGACCCAGAGCTAGATAACGCCACCTCTGCCTCCACAGCAGCACGAGCCCCTCCGCATGTTCGCCAACGTAACAGCACTTTACACAACAGCCCCACAGCGGAAACAACCCAAATGCCCATCTGCCACAGGGGGCTCAAATAAGCCTGGGCACATCTGCAGAAAATAACATCTATGAATGAGAATAAACCACTACACTTCATACACATCATGATGACTCTCACAAACAATGCTACACAAGAGTGCAGACCCCAAACACCTTTTGTGTAATCTGATCTACTCAAAACTCAAAGGCAGGTAAGGCCAGAGGAGTTAGCGGTCAGCATAACAGTCTGCCTTTGTGTGTGTGAGGACATAAGTGCTGGAGGGGACACGAGAGGCTTGGGGACCTGAAAATGCTTCTCAGTTGAATGTATTTACTCTGTGAAGATGCATTAAACTACATGCTATGATCTGTGTTACATAAAAACACAATACGAAACCAAAAGTTTCAAAGACAAAAAATATGTACTGTATGATTCCATTTATTCAAAGTTCAAAATCGGGCAAAACTAAACTCCACTGTTCAGAAATGCATATACAGATGGGAACACTCAAAACCACAGCAGTGGCCGGTCATCCTCCATCAGGGAGTGGTCCCCTCTGGTGGGAGGGCCACCTGGAGTGCGGTGACATCCTGTTTTGCTAGACAGTGTGTTACTGTCCGGGAATCTGTTCTGCCCTGTTCACCAAGTGTGTGTCTGTGCCGTGTGTATGGCACGTGCAGTGCTGTACAGCGAACCAGAGCCCGGCCACCTTCTGCGGACACTTGCCGTAAGTGAGGGTGTAGACGGCCTTCCCAGCGGTGTCCAAAGCGGTCAGGCAGGGGGCTTTGGGCTGCAATGTGCCCCAGCGCTGCAGGGCGGCCAGCAGCGAGGGTGGCCAGGAAATCCCTGCAGCCGGAGGTTCTCCTTTCAGCACTACCATCTGGCTTCCCTCAGGCTTTGGCTGATTTGGATCTGGTTGCTGAACTACAAGCAAAATTGGAATTTTAAAATCAACATTTCATGGTATTATGCACACACTCTATTTTCAAGCATTTATATTTTATCATTTTCTTCTTTAAAAATACCAATTGTAAAAAGGTAACAGTAATTTGTTTAGACTTCTTTATCACTGTAATAGTCACAGACCAACTGACCGAAGGACAGATGGAGATTCAATCACAGATGATAACCTGGTAACCACAACCCCACACAACAATCCCAGGGTGGGGGCAGAGACAGCCAGGCTTTCATGGGAAATGGCCAACCCTGACAATACCTGAGGGCAGGCACTAGTCCCCGCTTACAAAAGATGAAAGTTGCACTGGCTGGTATAGCTCATTGAGCACGGGCCTGTGAACCAAAGGATCATGGTTCAATTCCCAGTCAGGGCCCATGCCTGGGTTGCAAGCCAGTTCCCAGCAAGGAATGCACGAGAGGCAACCATACATTGATGTTTCTCTCCCTCTCTCCTTCCCTTCCCCTCTAAAGATAAATAAATAAAATCTTAAAAGAAAAATAAAGTCTATGATATTTTCAGTGGATATGTGACCAAAATTTGCCCAAGTGTAAGAAAGACTGCCCTAAATCTGAAAGGTGCTATGTGATTATAAAGGGGAAACAATGCCCCAAAAGCAGCGCCCAGTCCTCAGTTATGAAGGGGACACCCAGAGCTGCTCCTCTGTGCAGTGGCAAAGACGCACGGGAGAGGTGGGAGGAACCGAGGGCGGGCTGCCGTGTGCCCTGTGGCTCTACACATTCACGCTCTTGTATCTTGCACTGGGCTTTTTCTCTTCCTTATCTACAGGCTTATACTTCTGTTTCTTGGTTTGTTTTTTTTCATCTATATATATTCTTTCTTCTAAATATACAAAGTCTGTCAGGAAAAAGCCCAGCCATTGTTAATATAACAAGAATGGGTTGCATGACATCAAAGTAACCTGGCAGCCAAGGAGAGTGGACTGGAATGCACACGCGTGAGCAACGACGACTTCACTGTACTAGTCCATGGGGGAGACACATGCCATTGAGTGAGCAAGTGTACTGTGTGGCTGTCACATTCAAAGTGACCGTAACTAATCTGCATCAAATTCTGGTTAAGCTTGACTATTCCTCTACAGAAACTATCTGGATGACTCAGAGGGCTGCAGCTATGGGCAACTGGTGGTGACTGGCAGCTTCATCACGACAACATGCCACTCATGCATCACGCCTAGTGCAGAGTTTTTTGGCGAAACACTGAATCAGACCCCCTACAGTGCAGATTTGGTGCCCTGCCAACTTCTAGCTTTTCCCAAAACTGAAGAGATTTCAGACCACTGATGAGATTTAGGAAAATATGATGGGGCAGCTGATGGCAACTGGGAGAACTATGTGAGGTCCCAAGGTGCCTACTTGGAAGGGGACAGAGGCATCCTTGTCCTATGGACAATGTTTCTTCTATCTTCTTTAATAAATGTCTTTATTTTTCCTATTACAGAGTTGGATACTTTCTGAACAGACCTTGTATCTCTCACTCATAAATAAGAGACCAAATTTCTGAAAAAGGGCTAACACTATTCTAAAGATGTAATCCTTTAAAACCATGGTAAAAGGGATATTTAAGATTTAAAGTTTAAATAAAAATTTAAATAGGCCCTGGACAGGTAGCTCAGCTGGCTGGAGCATCGTCCTGATATACCACGGTTGTGGGCTTGATTCCTGGTCAGGGTACATACAAGAAAAAAACGAATGAATGCATCAACATACAGCAACAAATCGATGTTTTTCTCTCTCTCTCCCTGAAATCAATCAATGAAAAACAAATTTTTAATAATGTAAGTAAAATGAAACCTTAGAAGTAGTCTTATAAAGTACTAACCACTGGGTCCCGGGCACAGGGAAGTGTCAAGTATCTTAAGTACGCGCAGTGAACTTCCCACCTGCTCAGGTGAAGTCAGCAGTCACACGTGATACTGACCTTCACCGTCACGCACGGCAGCCACAGAGGCCGCCAGCAGAGAGGACGTCCCTCTACTGCGTTACAGCACAGCAACGACCCATGGAGGGTATACACCTGCCTGCGCCTTCAGACACGACGGCCACCCAGTCCCCACGCGCAAACCCAAGCCTGAGGGTACTCACCTTCCAACAGCTCCTCCACATCATCCACAAAGAACTCCTTCAGCGGAGGGCGCTTTGGCCTCTTCAGGGTGTTCAGAAGCTGCTGGATTTTGGAGGACACTCTGCTGTTCACAGGGACACCTGTCACGGGAAGAGGAACACTAAGGCTAGAACGTGCCACACCCTCTGGGGAACGGGACACGGAAACAAGGTCCAGTGACCAGCCACACGAACAAAAAGTGCTGGCCCCGTCAAGCAGGCATTTTGGAATTAACTCATTAAAAAATCTTACTGAATGCCTTTTAGGAAGTAGAATTTGTTCTAAGCTAGTAGTTTTCGAAGTGGTCCTGGGACCCCTGGGGGTGCCTGAGGCTCTTTCAGGAGGTTCATGAGGTCAAACTACAGCTGACCCTTGAACAACACAGGTTTGAACTGCACAAGCCACTTGCACACAGACGTTTAAAAACAAATACCTGCCCTGTTTTCAGTCTGTGGCTGGGAGTCCGTGGACGTGGTGGGCTGAACATATGCACTGACCCATGCTACTTTACACGGGGACTTGAGTGTTGCATGCTTTGGTGTCTGTGGGAAGGTCTTGCAACCAATCCCCCGTAAGTACCGAGGGACAGCTAATTAGTTCTTGGAGTCAGAGTTACACACTGACTTTCGACTGTGCGGCACCTGCGCGGTTCACGGGCCGACCGCCCTTCCCCAGTCATGTTAAGATGCCATTTCCCTTTTCACTTTCCTCCTGGCACAAGAGCACAGTGGAGTCTCCCAGAGGCCACACATCACATCAGAGCAGAACAGACTGAATGGGGATGAGACGCAGAAGCAGACAATACTATTGTGCCACCACGAGACCAGTGACAACAATAGAAAACAAACCCATTTTCCCTCTAAATTTCCATTTTACTGTACATATTTTCATAAATAAGAGTTATTTGTATTAAGCTATAATCAGTTTATTTTTTTAAGATTTTATTTATTTATCTTTTAGAGAGGAAGGGAAGGAGAGAAATATCAACGTGTGGTTGCCTCTCATGAGTCCCCTGCCGAGAACTGGCCCACAACCCAGGCATGTGCCCTGACTGGGAATCGAACTGCGATCGTGTGGTTCGCAGGCTCGCACTCAATCCACTGAGCTACACCAGCCAGGTATTATTTTTGAATAAATATTTTTAAATTTTTAGTTTTAATTTCTAATTATGGTAAAAATCAAGAGCTACAATCCACATAAACTCTTTGGTATTCTCGATAATTAAGAAATGCTGTTCTGGGGGCAAAGACATAAGAGTCTGCCCTTGAACAGCACACCATCCGCTGGATAAAAACATGCACCCCTGCAAATAAACAAGAACACCTGACACAGCAGTGAGCGCTCCAAGGACAACCGACGCGGAAAGATGGCTGAGAGCAGGAGTGAGCAGGGCCCAGCCCCGGCCCCCCTACCCCCCCACCGCAGGTAGGACCCTGACACCGCACTGTCTGTCTGCAGCGCGGTCCGTCCTCCAACACCGGAGCCAGCCTAGAACCAGGAACGTATTAACCGGTCTGGTCTCTGCAGTCTCCTCTGAGCTGGAATATTTCTCTGTCCTTTGTAACAGACATTTTGAAAGAGTGCAGTTCTTTCTTTTTGTTAGGTAGAACATACCTCAATTTGAGTTCTGTGAGGTTTTTCATGATTCGATCCGAGTGCTGCATCCCTGGCTGAAATGCTACGTGGTATCACACCCCGATTCCTGTGACGCCCACCTACTCCCATGTAGAGGCTGACTTCATCACCCAAGGCACTGCCCGGCTTCTCCACTACATCGTTACTGCTGTTTCTTGTGCAGCTAAGCAGCAACTGTGAGGAGACACTCCAAGAACACCCGAATACCCTGGCCCTCACTGAACTCTGTCCCTGCCTTTGACAGTCACACGTCATTCCTGCCAGAAGTGATTTTTACGGCACTGGTTGCAGTTATTTTCCAACGTTAGCACTCAGTTTACAGTGAACAGTCAACCCCTGGCATCCAGTCTGTCATCTATCATCTGTCTGTCATCTATTTGTCTCTCTACAATATTATCAGAAGGACTAATGGATGGCTATTTTCTCAATCATTATAGATCATCACGGTTGTATCTGATGCACAAATAGTTCCTGAGTTGGCCAGCGGGACCCTCGATGAGTTGACTTGTGACATGCCCCACCGCTCTTTAAGCACCTCCTTACATTCCATTATGAGATGTTTCAGTCACTTGTACTCCCCTCTCTTGCCCTGAAATCACACATCTTCCCAAGCCGCCCTGGCTGACCTTAGTGGGAAGGGAGTAAAGACCAAGATCTAGTCACCAGGTGCGCTCAGTGTCCACGCTTCTTTCAACAGACAGAGCTAAAAGGTACACTGTATACACACATTCACGTACTCACAGATGCACATGCACACCGACAAGGGCAATGCACATGTGTGCGCAGACGAGTGTAAACTGACACAGACTTGCATCTTAGAAATCGTTGAGTCCACACCAACACCTCCAATCCCACTCTCCCCCACAGGGCTCTCTCTTGCCTTTTACAGTTATCGCTGATGTCCCTCTTCCACAGTGAGAACCCTGCCCCCAACAGCATCAACACCTTTGCTCAATACTACCAAGTGTGTGGGATGATTTCAAATTCCTACATGCACAGCACTACAAAAACAACCTACTAAAAGAGTTCAAGGTTTTTTTGCCGTGCTTCCAACCCAACCTCGTCCAAGGCGGAGGGTGTGCCGTCCAATACTGTGTTCAGAACTCACCTGTATTTGCTCTCTTCCCACCACCCCCTTCAGTGTGGCTACGATATTTCTTGGAAATACAGTCGTGTTTGTTTATTTCTGCTCGAATTCAGTTTTAGGATTCTCCCCCCTCTTCCCATACTTTATGTCTGGATTATGTACAACACTAACAAACCTCTGAATCTCAAACTACAGTCACACATCACGGAACAACGAGGATCCATTCTGAGAAATGCAGAATCAGCTGCTTTCGCCATGCGAATGTGACAGTGGTCCACAAGCGCCCACACGGCGCAGCCCACTGCGCAGCTGAGCTGTGTTTAACAAACTCGAAGAGGAAACCATATACGATGAGCCTGACAGGTCAAAAAGATCATGTGACAAAAATCATGACAAAAATTTCCAGATTAGGAAAAAAGAACTTCCTCAACCTGATTATGAGCATCTATAAAAACCCACAGCTAAACACCACAATTAAAAATGAAAAAGTGAACACTTTCCCCCAACAATTAGTAATAAGACAAGTTATGTCCCCTCTCAACATTTCTAACTGAAAAACTGCAAGTCCTAGACAATGCAGGAAAGCCAGAAATATTAATGTCCCTATAGGCGAACAATTTGGAAAGAAAAGTAAAACTCTGTTCACAGATAATACAACCATGCATGTATGTAGAAAATCTTAAGGAACCTATCAAAACACCTACTAGAACTAATATAAGGTCCATATAAAAGAAATCAACTGTATTTCTATAGATTAGCAACAAACCATTGGAAAAAATATTTAAGTACCATTTACATTAGCATCAAAAATTGTAGGGAACCAGTTTAAGTCTGGCAAATGTGACTCAGCTCTGTATGGAAAACCTACAGAAGGGAAGTGGTGGGCAGGAGCCAGACCTTCAAACCGAGTTTTCCCGTGGGAATCAGGCCTAGAAAATGCATACAGGCTGTTATGGCTTGCTCTTGCTAAAGCTCCATCATCCTGGTCTAAAGCAACAAATGTGTATTGTCTGTCTTCAAGGTAATTTCCAAAGCCTTGAGTTCTCCCAAGGACAGAGATAATCAGCTCATCGTTATTCTCTTCATGTTATTTTCATTTTCTTGATTGTACCTAAAATGTAGACAATAATATTCTATGATAATAAGTCCCGAGGAAAACAACGAAAGCCTGTCTAGACAAGGGTCGGGCTCCCCCCTCTCGAGGGAGTGGCCGAGGCACCATAGGCACTCTCCCCTTGAGAGAGTAGAGGTGCTGTTCCCTTTTTCCACACAGGATTGCTGTCGCCTGTGCATTCATTCTCATCATCAGCCACAACAGGTGGAATCTGCTGACCAGGGTCCGCCACATAAAATGTAACATATTTTGGGATAATTTTAACAAAATATGTGCAATACCTGTGCACTGAAAACTATAAAACAATGCTAAAATTTTTTATAAAAGTTAAATAAAAAATATACAGTATTAATCAACTGAAGTATATAACAGTTAAGATGCCGATTCTTTCCAAATTGATCTAGAGAATCAGTGAAATACCAATCACAATCTGACAGGAATTCTGCTAAAAATTAACAAGCTAATTTTAAAATATGTTACAATGCAGAAGCACTGGAATAGTCAAAGCAAAATTTAAATCGAAAGCAGAGTGGCAGACAAGCCAGGCGGCCCCGAGACAAAACCACAGCCATCGTGACAGTGCGCTTCGGCATCAGGATGCACGGATCCGGCCCCTGAGCTGCACGGAGCGCCCGGGACCAGACTCCTCTCACACGTGGGCTACGACTCTCACTCAAAACGCCAAAGACGACCGGTGGACACAGAGTGGTCTTTAAAACAGGTGATGCTGTAACAACTGAGTATCCACATACAAAAAAATGAAGTTTGATGCATTGCTTGCATTGATGCTAAAATTAACTCAAATGAATCATATACCTAAATGTAAAACCTAAAACCATAAAATCCTAGTAGAAAATATAAAAAACCTTTATGACATTGAGTTAGAAAAATATATCTTAGGACACAAAAGCAGGATCCATAAAAGAAAAGTTTGGTGAACTGGACATCATCAGAGATTTAACTTCTACTCTGAAAGGCACAGATAAGAGAATGAAAACACAAGCCATGGACTGGGAAAAAATATATAAAATATAAGCCTGATTTTTAAAAATACTTGTATCCAGAATACATAAAGAACTCTCTGATCTTAGTAAGACAACAATCAGCACATTAAAAAATTAGCAAAAGGTTTGAACGGACTCTTCTGAAAAGATATGCAGATGGCAAATAAGCACATGAGAAGATGCTCAACACCATCAATCACTAGGGAGATGCAAATTCAAACCATGAGACACCTTTACACACTTGTTAGGACAGTTAAAATTGAAAAACCACAATACCAACTGTTGGCAAGGCTGCGGAGGAACTGAACTGACACCACTAAGGGTGGGAATGGGAAATGATTCAGACAGACACTAGGAGAATGAGCCCAGCGATTTCCTAAGGAGTTAACCGCAGACCTACCACTCCTGGGTACTGACCCAAAAGGAATGAAGGTACACAGCCACACACAGACATGAATAAGCAGCTCTATTTGGAATAGCCAAAAACCAGAAAAAATATATACATTGATAGGGAAACAGATAAACTTGTGCGGTCATACAATGAGATCTACTCCCCAATCAAAGGAATAAACTAATGATACATGCGAGAACATAAACCTCAAAATAGGTATGCAGAGTGGCAGAACCCAGACAATAAAAAGTAAGTACAGAATGATTCTTTTTATATAAAATTCTAGAAAATGCAAACTAACTACAATGTCAAAAGTAAATCAGTGGTTTCCTCAGGAGGAGCTATAAAAGGCAGCAGGCGGTTTGATAAAGGGGCACAAAAAATTTTATGAAGAACAGATGTGTTCATTGTCTTGATAGTATGGATAGTTTCATGGGTATACACACATCTTAAAATATACAACTGAGTACTTTAAATATATGCGGTTGATTATATGTCAATCAGAGCTCAACTAAATTCTTAAATTTGTTCAAATATAAAGAGTAATAAATCAGATAAAAATATATCTAATCAACAGAAAGTCTGCTTCATGTGAAGTCAGTATTTTCCTTTTGCATTTGGACAAAGAACTGAAAGATTTCGACAAAATATGACCTGCTGCTTAGAAGGATCAAAATACATGTTCAAAGTTTAGATCTGAGATCCTCTGGAGTTTTCTGCCATTCGAACCTGGCACATCGGAAAGAAAACGTCACGTGACTTTGATAGACCTTAGAGAGCTGTTTCAAAAGGAAACGGTACTAAGCAGGCCACCGAAGCCACACTCACAGCACTGGGCTGGCACATCAGGAACCGTGCGAGCTGCTGCTGCACCCATCCCACAGGCCGCTGAGGGTGGTGTGCGTGCACACGGCTGCCGTGCAGCAGGCAGGACCTGCTGTGCAGGCCACACTATGTCCAAATAAAAACTTTCCATGATCCTCCTCTTCCTACACTACTGCAGATCCAAACTCCCTTTGCATCCAATTCAAACTTGGAGGCTTTCTCCACCTGACTCTCCTTGGTCCACCGGACCAATTCCACAGGTATTTCTGATCTTTTTCTGCACAGGGTGCTTTCTGTGATAACATGCACTGCGCACAATGGTCTCAGGGTATATATACTGCTGACTGGCTCGGGTTTGCTATGGCGGGCACACTGAGGGATGCTTACTTAGTACCTGTGAAGCACCTGTGCTCAGCCGCGGCAAAAGGAGAAAGGAAGACATGCTCACCACCCGCTGTGTCCAGGAGGCGCCCACCGCACCCCCGAGGGACGCCTCTCACAGAGGCTGGCTGTGGACGCTCACAGTGCGAATGCTCCACAAGGCCAGTGGTGACATCAGGAGGGGCAGAGTGCAGATCTGCTTTTGAAAAACAAACCCAAAACAAAAGTGTCGTTAATTCAAAAGATCATTACGTTGCTGTTTAAACCCCATTCGAGCAAAGCTTCTCTAGCTGTGCTTTCTAAGCAAGGAGCATGGCATTCTGATAATGTTGTTTTTCTGATCAACCAGGCACCCAAGGACCCAGTGAACCCTCCACTCCCAAACACGGCACACAGATCTGTGTGCAGGAGGGCTGTCCAGTTCCCAACGCGATCCAGACTAGAGCCACTGACCATAGCACACACATAGGCACAAGCAGACTTGCCTTCCAATGAGATTTTACTCAGAAATCTCCCTCACTGAAGCCGAAACACATTTTAAATTAATTATTATTAGACCATTTTTGTTATGTAAAAGCAGACTACCCTGTGTTCTCCTAAAGAGTATGCTGGATGTCTCGGAGACAGAGACAGTCTTCAAAGAATAAACCCGCAAAGATGAAAACTACCCTTATGGCCAGTTCAACAAAACTCACTGTTAATAGTGAGTTCTTAGAACCAACCAAGTTCTTAGACAGAATGTATTCATCTAAAGACAAACTAGTTAGATACAGAAAATGTTTAGACACTCCCCCTTCCACTGTCTGAAATGTACATCTCTGTGTTGATTTTCATTATATGGCACACACTGATCGGTTTGGAATGTCGGCCGACTATAAACTGCTATCACGTCATCATTATGGTCGAGGCTTCCACTAGGAAAAGCACCGTGTCTGCACAACTACCAGAAATTGTGCCCTGCCATGCCACTAGGGCCGACACCAGTCCACCTGTGAGACGGGCATTAGCCTGTGTCAGTGGCCACCTGTAACCCATTTTATCACCTAACAAACGCTCCTGCCCTTGCAGACAGCAGGCTCGTATCTTACACTCTGACCTTTTCGCTATCACTTCACAACCTAGGCAGAAGTTTAAAATACACAGAAAGATGACTGAAATAGAGAACAAGGGGACAGTGACCAGAGGGGAGAGGGGAGGGAATTTAAGGGGGAAAAAGGGGGAGGGATTTGGAGGAACAAGTATGAAGGACACAGGGACGAGAACTAAGGGGGGTGGAAATGGGAGGGAGGTGGGGAGCACGGGGCAGGGTGGGCTGGGAAGGGAGAAATAGAAAACTGTACTGAAAAATAACTAAATAAAATTAATAAAAAAAGAAAGATGAAATTATATGGAAGCAAAACACAAACTCACTATCTACACAGCAGAAAACGCCATTTAGAAAACTCTCATTACAGAGTTTTCATGACCCTGGAAAAAGCTGGATGTTGATGAAATCAGCATTTTAAAGTATGCCCATCATAACATTCTTTCAGTTTAAAAAGAAATCTCCCTATCTTTCCAAATTCAGCAAAAAGAATAAATTATTTTAACAGTGTTCATGAAAAAGGTATAAATGTAATCATAACTAAAAGTAGTTTTTAAAATAGTTGAATAAAATAAGCAAACCACATTCAAAATAAAAATGAATTACTGCAACTAAAAGTACCACTTTTAAATATACATATTTACACTTGTGTGCAAATGTTTAAGTATTTCATTTCCTTAAAGTTGAAAATGGTATACTTTTAAAATGACCTTTACCTAATAATATATCCTACCTCTAAATTTGTACCTAAATACTCTTGTTCTTTCTGTATTTCTTTTCTTAACCCAAACTGAGGAACTCTCTACTGTTAAAAATTAAAACAAAGAATGAGTTTTATAATGAAGAGAGAGAAACAGAGTATTCTCACATTCAGAAATCCAAGCCCCCACACTCGGCAAACCTTTAGTACATGATGGCCGCCATCTGCGGCGGCCCACGACAGGGCACTGCACAGAGTCCAGGTTAAGTTTGTAGACACTAGTAGAATTGACCGCAGTGTGTATGTGAGGCCAGGCGAGGGGAGTGGGAGACAGGCTCAGCTATGCCAATGGAGGCCAAGAGGTCCCACTGAAAGGTGACGCACCCACCTCGTGAATCTCCACAACCAGGGCCTTTCAGAGAATGAAAAAACCCTCCTTCAACACACTGAGAGTTACGTGCTTTGTTAAAAGACCCACAGCCACTGGAAGTTGAAGGCTATCTGGTTAAACATCCTGACCTGTGGGTAGTTTTTTAATAAAACAGCAGAAAAACTGCTTTTCAAGCGATCACACTCCTTGAGGAAAGGGGGACATTAACCACCGGCCATTCACAGGACACACAGAAAAGCTACCAAAACTATCTGGGTGCGCTCTTTTCCAAAGGGGCCTTTTGTTGTGAAACACGCTAACCCCGGGGAGCCCCAACAGTGAGCTGCCCCCACCACCCGTGGACCCCGAGTGCTGGAAGCAGAGCACAGCGTCGGAGTTCTCACCCACGACTCACACCGCAGTAGAAGACACGCTCAACAGAAACACGCTCCCTGCACCGCGGCGGTAAACTGCAGATGGAGAACCTCAGTGCTGTGCCCACAGAGGACGGTGAGACTAAAGCCGTCGGCCCTGAAAACACCCAGAGTACTCCCGGTCCGGCCGAACGACCAAGACTTCGCACGAAGCAGCTCCGCACCTGGGCCCAGAGCCTGCCTGCTGTGGCCCCACTGAAATGCCAGCCATGCATCGCTTCAATGTGAGCAGAACAGCAACTAACAGTGAAGAGAACGAAGAGGAATCAAGAAAACTGTCGGGCTGGCTTCGATGCTAAGCCAGGCGTGCAGTCTCAGGTCAGTGACAATCAACCTTTCTGTCCTCCTTCCACACCTAGAGAACAGAGGGGTCACAATCACACTCTGTAAGGTGTCATGCAAGACTCACGTGGGTGCTGTGTGCTAGCTACGCACAGCTAACGATGCTCCTGTTTATGTTTTTCAAATGTGGTTTCAATAACAAAAGGTCTGTGCTTTTCCCCTAACAGTAATGTAATTTAAAGATCGGATGTTCTGGAAGAGTACTGTGCACCTTCGTGCCTTAGCGCTGACTGTCATCCCCATCCAGGCTGAGGAGTTCCTTACCCTGGACCTCCCGAGCAAGCTGATGGACCCACAGCTGTGCGCACCAGCAGAGGCAGAGACAATGTCGTGGTTGCGGGCCAAGGGTGACCATCGGGAGCCACTATGGTCACCTCTACCTGAACACCCACTCTGCACCTGCCACCTGTGCCAGCCTGCCCTCCAGAGCAGGGGGGAGCACACGTCAAGAGACACCATGCACTTCTCCCTGCCCCTGGGGAAGGCCCACACGCCAGAGCGCCTGGAAGCATCAAACCACAGAAGTAACAAGGACTACTTTTGTTACCAAAAAGCCACTTTCCAGATGAAAAAGAGAAGACAGATTTGGATGGGCGCAGAGGCACCCTTGTCCTACAAAGGCCACGGAAACGGTTACTGACCTATGTGGGCGTGGGCCGCGGGGCCTGTGAGCGCAGCGGCAGGTCTCCCTCCCGGGTGAGATGAGGTGGAAGATGCGGAGGATGAGGTGGACGAGCCCTGAATGACCCGGTCGAGCCAGGGCTCGACGCTGGAATGGCTCTGGAGCGGAGTGGAGGTGAGTTGCCCGGGTCGCCGTAAAGAGCCCTCATCTTCTGAGGCAGACGACGTGTCTGTGGTTAAAATAACGACGACAGGCGTGATGTGGGGATGGGTCACTGAGGAAGGCCACTCCCACACTGGCACCCGGGCCTCCCAGCCTGCATCACACTGCTCTATATACCTGCACAGCTGCACCTGCACATGGCTGAGGAGTCACGGCGAAGGTCACAATCTAGAAGGGCCTGCGTCAACCGACTGGAAGATCCAAAGGACCCTAGCTGGGAAAACTGGCTGTATGACCCCAGCTTCTCTCAGAGGTCTTAGTCCTGGGACATTACACACCGGGAGCGAAGACGGGCTCCCATGGTGGCTGCAGAACATTGCTTGGTGGGGCCCCAAACATCAAAGGAGACTCCAACTGGGGAACGCTCCGTGAACGTCCAGTATCGCTACAGAACATTCACTCCGACCCCTACGCCACCTTCATGAGGCTGAAACCCCCGCAGGGAAGAAGCAGCTCGCCTCCCGAGCAAGCACGTGGGCTACAGGGGCTGTAGCCTATGTGCCTCCTTCACCCCATTCACCTGCCTCTTCCTAGGGGAAGCAGGAACGAACTCTGGACAGAATTCCTTCCCCAAGAAAACTGCTTCAGTCAATAAAATTAACCGTGATTAGGTTCTATCAAGTCTGTATGACTGTGCATTTTACTATAGGTTTCATAATTATTTAAAATTGGGTAGATAGAATAATTTGAAGACCATTTCTTAGATTTTTTTCAACAGTATAAACTTTCTTCTTTTTTAGCAAGGAAGCATTACTAGAACACTAAATTACCTCGTGACTCTGGTTTTGGGCTTTCAGTCACCAGTTTCATGACTTACATCACAAGACAGGCAACAGAAGTGCATGGACATAAAGCCATTAAACCAACACGTGGGATAATTTAACAGGAAGCTTACGACACACCACTGACAAAGACAAACTCCATTTAAAGGTTTCATTTCCAATTACAATAACAACAACAAAGTAAAAATTAAAAACCCTCCAGATAGCCTTCCTCTCTCCCATTTAAGGCCTGGTAACATAACACAGTAAATAAGTGAATAATTTAACAATTCTTAATCCAGGGAACCCTTGCATACCACCAAACTCTCATTTCAGGTTCTTTTCTTCTTTAAAACACATAAATAGGATTTTAGTAAAAAAACAAACTAACTAAAATCTACACAAGAAGTCTGTAAAAAGCAATCATCTGTTTGGGTAAGAAGCATACCATGGACACCACAAATTTCTAGGCAAGCGCTACCACACACACGTTTTCCATCTCCATTTTCCAGCTCTTTACTGCAAGTCCGAAGGGTGTTCCAACTCAGTGGGAAAGGAAGTTGCGACACTGAGCTGCTGAAACACCTCAGGGACACGCCTGGAGCGGTTCCTGCCGTACCTGGGGGGGTGCAGGTCTCCAGAGACGAATGCGCAAGGACAGACCGTCTTTTCGAAGGCAGAGGCACCTTCCTCTCTTTGTATTTGGCCAAAGCTGCTTGCACGGCTTCAGTGTGAACATCTGCATAGAAACAGGAGTATAAAGCTTTTAAGACATTGTTTATGAAGCACCAAAACTAAGGTTCATGGCTTTCGTTGAGTGTAAAAGTAACACAAGCTCACCCTGTGCCTACTTGCGTGTCCCACATTTTGGTCCTAAGATTTCTTTAAATGTTCTTTTGTTTGTATATTTGACTTTGAAACCATGAATATTTTCAAAATTGTGAACTATTATAAAATAATAAATGAAATAATAAGTAATAATAAAATAAGTGAAAATTAAAAATTTTAAATTTAAAATAAGTGAAATAATAATAAAGTAAGTAAAATTTAAATTTTAAAAAATCTCCCTAATTGAAAGTAAGATAAAACAAATAAAGTTAAATGTGTCTGCAACTGTCGTCATTAACTACTCCAAATGACTTGAACCTGCTCCTCTCACAACTTAAAGACAAAAAAATGCATAAGACCACTTGTGTACATTTGAAGTTTTTCTCCAACAAGATGTTTTTAAAACATTTAAAAATCTTACAGGGAGCCCTGGCTGGTGTAGCTCAGTGGATTGAGTGCGAGCCTGCGAACCAAAAGATCGCGGTTCAGTTCCCTGTCAGGGCACATGCCTGGGTTGCAGGCCAGTTCCCAGCAGGGGAAGCACAAGAAGCAACTATACATTGACATTTCTCTCCCTCTCTCCTTCCCTTCCCCTCTAAAGATAAATTTAAAAAAAACCAAACAAACAAAAAAACACACAGGGAAATGGCAGGTAAAGTGCTAATCAAGAATAATGAAAAGCCCTGGCTGGTGTAACTCAGTGGATTGAGCACAGGCCTGTGAAGCAAAGGGTTAATGGTTTGATTCCCAGTCAGGGCACATGCCTGGGTGGCACATGCCTGGGTTGCACATGCCTGGGTTGCAGGCCAGGTCCCCAGTAGGGGGCACATGAGAGGCAACTACACATTGATGTTTCTTTCCCACTCTTTCTCCTTCCCTTCCACTCTCTCTAAAAAATAAATAGAAGAAAATATTTTTAAAAAATAACAATGAAAAATTCACTGAATTAAAATGTACTGATATAAAATATACAAACATCGAAGGCAACAAGACAATTCTAAAAGCTCCCAGAGAGAAAGCCATCTTGAAGGATGAAGAAATGGAGGGACATGACTCAATAGTAACCACCCAGCTGCAAGAAGAAAACATAGTGTCAAAGAAAAAGTTTTGAATTTATATCCCACCAAATTATTATTAAACACAAGGGTCTAATAAAAATATACCCAGACATAGAAGTGAAATACTCTTGGAAGAAGCTGCTTAAAAGAAAGACTAACCAGGAGCCTCTTGGACAGATACAGCAGTGATGGTAAGTACACACTTCAATCCTTTTCCCACCTTAGCTGTCATCCTGCTCTCTATGTATGAGTCTGTCTCTATCTTGCTTGTTAGTTCAGTTTGTTCGTGAGATTCCACATATGACTGAAATAATATAGTATTTGTGCTTCTCTGACTGGCTTATTTCACTTAGCATAACGTTCTCCAGGTCCATCCATACTGTCACAAGGGTAAGATTTTCTTCTTTTTCACAGCCAAGTAGTATTCCATTCTGTGAATGTCCCATAGTTGTTTCATCCACTCATCTACTGGTGGACACTAGAGCTGCTTCCATAACTTGGTGATTGTAAATAACACTGCAATTAACATAGGGGTGCTTATATTCTTTTGAACTAGTGGTCTGGGTTCCTTCAAATATACTCCCAGGAGCAGGATCACTGGGGCAAAAGACAGACCTAATTTTTAATTGTTTGAGGTATCTCTATACTGCTTTCCACAGTGGATGCACCAATCTGCATTCCCACCAGCAATGCAAAGGGGTCCTTTTTTTTTTTTTTTTTCACATCCTTACCAGCACTTGTTATATATTGATTTATTGATTATAGCCATTCTAACAGGTGAGATAGGATGTCTCATTGTGGTTTTAATTCACATTTTTTTGATGATTAGCAATACTAAACATCTTTTTAAATGTCTATTGGCCATCTGTATGTCCTCTTTGAAGAAGTGTTTATTCAGGTCCTTTGCCCATTTTCTTAATTGGGTTGTTTTTTTGGTGTTGAGTTTTGTAAAAACTTCTTTAAGTTTTTGTATAAAGAACTTTTTGTATAAAGAAGCTTTTGTATAAAACTTTAATAAATTTTGGATATTAACCCATTATCAGATGTACTGGCAAGTATATTCTTCCATTCTATGGGTTTTTTATTTTGTTTTTTATTTCCTTCACTGTACAAAACCTTTTTAGTTTGATGTAGTCCCATTTGTTTCTTTTTATCCCCCCCCCTGCCTAGGGAAATATATCCAATAAGATATTGCTACCAGGAAAGTCCAAGATTTTGCTGCCTATGTTTTCCTCTATCATTTTTATGGTTCCGGGCCTAACATTTAAGGCTTTAATACATTTTGAATTTATTCTTGTGTGTGGTGCAAAAAGGTAGTCTAGTTTCATTGTTATGCACATCTGTCCAGTTTCCCCAGCACCATTAACTGAATGAACTATCTTTGGCCTATTGCATGTGCTTGCTTCCTCTGTGTAATATTAACTGACTATAAAGGTATGACTTTATTTCTGGGCTCTCCATTCTGCCCCACTGACGTCTATGTCTATTCTTATGCTACTACCAGACTGTTTTGATTACAGTAGACTTGTAGTGTAGGTTGATATTAGGTAGCATGATTCCTCCAACCTCCAAGGTTCTCCTTTTCTCAGGACCGCTGTTGCTATGTGAGGCCTTTTGTGGTTCCATATACATTTCTGAAATATTCTGCTTCTGTGAAATACATCATTAGAATCTTGATAGGAATTACACTGAATCTATAAATTGCTTTGCCTGTTATGAAAACTTCAATGATGTTAATTCTTTCTATCCATGAACACTGTATGTGCTTCCACTTTTTTGTATCTTCTTCAATTTCTTTCCTCAGTGCCTTATAATTTTCCAAGCACGGGTCTTTTACATTCTTGGTAGAGTTATTCAAAGGTATTTTATTCTTTTTGAAGCAATTGTGAATGGGAGTGGTGTCTTAATTTCTCTTTCTGTCAGTTCATTGCTGGCGTATAAAAATGCAACTGATTTCTGGATATTAATTTTGTATCCTGCTACTTTGCTGAATTCATTTATCAGTTCTAGTATTTTCTTAGTGGAATCTTTGGGGTTCTCTATGTACAGTATCATGTTATCTGCAAAAAGAGAGTTTTACTTCTTCCTTTCCAATTTGGATGCCTTTTATTTCTTCTTGTCTGATTGCTGTGGCTAGGACTTCCAGTACTGTTAAATATGAGAGGTGAAAGCAGACATCCATGTCCTGATCCCGCTCTTAAGGGGAATGCTTGTAGTTTTTACCCATTGAGTATGATGCTGGCAATGGGACTGTCATATATGGCCTTTATTATGTTTAGGTGTGTTCCCTCTATTCCTAGTTTTCTGAATTTTTATCATAATGGATGTTAGATTTTTATTAAATGCTTTTTATGCATCTACTGATATGATCGTGTGATTTTTATTCTTCATTTTATGTGGTAAATCACATTTATTGATTTGCAAATATTGTACCAACCTTGCATTCTAGGAATAAATCCCACTTGATCATGGTATATCATCTTTTTGATGCACTACTGTATTCAGTTTGCTAATATTTTGTTGAGGATTCATCAGGGGTATTGGCCTATAATTTTTTTTGAAGTGTCTTTATCGGGTTTTAGAATAAGGATAATGCTGGCTTCATAAAATGAGCTTGAAAGTCTTCCCTACCCTTGAACTTTTTGAAATAGTTGAAGAGAAGTGTTAATTCTTCCAGTAATGTTTGGTACAATTCCCCTATGAATCCATCTGGTGTAGGGCTTTTGTTTCTTGGGAGTTTTTTGATTGCTGCTTCAATTTCACTAGGTATAATCTGTCAGAGAATCAGATTCTCTGATTCTTCCTAATTTAGTTTTGGAAAATTGTATGTTTCTAGGAATTTATCCATTTCATCCATGTTGTCCAGTTTGCTGGCATTTAGTTGTTCACAACATTTTCTTATAATCCTTTGTATTTCTTTGGTGTTAGTTGTTATTTCTCCTCTTTCATTTCTGATTTCATTTATTTGGGTCCTCTCTCTTTTTTTCTTGATGAGTCTAGTTAAAGGTTTATCAATCTTGTTTATCTTTTCAAAGAACCAGGTCTTGGATTCATTGATCTTTTGGATCATTTTTTAAGACTATTTCATTTATTTCTGCTCTGATCTTTTTTATTTCCTTCCTTCTACTCACTTTGAGCTTTGTTTGTTGTTCTTTTCAAGTTCCTTTAAGTATAAAGTTAGATTGTTTATTTGAACTTCTTGTTTTTCTGGGATAGGCCTGTAATGCTATGAATTTCCTTCTTAGGATTGCTTTCCCTGTGTCTCACACATTTTGGATTGCTGTGTTCTCATTTTCATTCCTTTAAAGGTAGCTTTTGATTTCATCCTTGATCTCATTGTTGACCCATTCACTGCTTAATAACACGTTATTTAGCTTCCATGTCTTTGTATGTTTTTCAGTGCTGCCTCCAAGAAACCCACTTGTGGTTGAAAGATATACACAGAATAAAAGTAAAGGATTAGAAAAAGACATTTCATGCAAATGGAAAGGAAAAAATCTGGGGTGGCAACAGTTGTATCCAACAAAATAGACTTTAAAACCAAAGCTACAGTAAGAGACAAGGAACAACACTAGACAATGATAAAGGGAACAATCCAATGAGAGGACATAACCCTGGTAAACATTTACACACACAACACAGGAGCACCTAACTATGTGAAGCAAATCTTGATGCACATAAAGAGAGAGATCAAAAGAAATACAGTCATAGTTGGGGACTTTAACACCCCATTGACTTCGATGGATAGATCTTCTGAGCAGAAAATCAACAAGGAGACAGCGGCCTTGAATGACACAATAGGTCGAGTGGATTTAATTGATGTCTTCAGAGCATTTCACCCAAAGCAGCAGAATATGCATACTTTTCAAGTGCATGAGGAATGTTTTCTAGAATAGACAATATGTTAGGACACAAAACAAGTCTCAATAAATTTAAGAAGACCGAAACCATATCAAGCATCTTCTCGGACTACAATGCTATAAAACTAGAAATCAGTTACAAGAACATTGAAAACAAACAAAGACATGGAAGCTAAATAACATGTTATTAAATAATGAATGGGTCAATAATGAGATCAAGGAAGAACTCAAAAGATACCCTGAAACACTTTAAAATCTTGTTCAGTGTCTGAGAAACAAAGACAGATTAACCAAGAGCTCAAAGAAGTTCAACAAAGCACAAAAACATAAGGAAAACTACACTGAGACACATCACAATCAAATCACTCAAAACCAGTGACAAAGGATCTTAACAGTGGAAGAAACAGTGGAAGATCTAATCAGAGGAAGAAACACACATTACATACATGGGAACGACCAAAAGGAACAAACCTGGAAGACTAACACTACTGACTTCAACAATTATTATTCAGCTACAATCACTGAGAGCAGGGTTTTCCCTAAACATGGGTGAATACATCCACAGAACATGAACACAGCCACCGGTGCACCTATGACTGCCTTTAGACAAAGAAATGGACAGTGTATGCTCCCAAAACCAGATATCCACAAGCAAAAAATAAGCTTTGGTCCATATGTTGAACTCATATGAAAATTAACTAAAATATGGATCATACACCTAAAGGTAAAACCTTAAAACTATAAATATTCTACACCTAAAGGTAAAACCTTAAAACTATAAATATTCTACACCTAAAGGTAAAACCTTAAAACTATAAATATTCTAGAAGAAGACACAGGTGAAATCTTTATGACCCTGAGTTAGACAAAGATTTCTAAGATACAAGAAGAAAGGCACTATTGACTTAAAAGAACTGATAAGCTGGACTTCATTAAAATTAAAAATCTGTGCTCTTCAAAAGACACTTTAAGAGAATTCAAAGACAAGACAAAGCCTAGGAGAAAATATTAGCAAATCACATTTATGATAAAGGTCTTACATTCAGAAAAAAAAGAATTAGAACTAAAATAAAGTTCACAAGGGCAGAAAACCATTTATTAATATCAGTTACATGGAAGTGGATGGTGAAGAGGATGTGGACAACAGTGCACTTGTATATTCAGGGTGGGGCAAAAGTAGATTTACAGTTGTGAGTACACATAAGTTTATTCTTGTGTTATTATTTATTAATTACTCTCGTATGTATTAGCTTCCATATGAACACCCACTACTGCCCCACCCTGCATGCACTACTACTTCTTTATCCACTCATTTATCGATGGGTACCTGGACTGCCTCCATATCTTGGATATTATAAATAATGCCGCCACAAACACAAGGGTGCATATATTCTGCTGAAATAGTATTTTGAGTTTCTTCAGATATATACCCAGAAGTGGAATCATTGGGTTAAAAGGCAAAGTGCATTTTCAATTTTTTAGTAACTTCCACACTGTTTTCTGCAGTGGCTGCACCAGTCTGCATTCTGTCCAACAATGCACACAGGTTCCCCTTTTCCACATCCTCACCAGCACTTGTTTGTAGATTTACTGATGATTGCCATTTTGACCGATGCCAATGGATATCTCGTTGCGGTTTTAATTTGCACTTCTCTGACGATCAGTGCTGTTGAGCATCTTTTCATATATCTCTTCACCATCTGTATGCTCTCTTCAAAGAAGGTTCTATATAGGTCCCCTGCCCATTTTTTTTGCATCCTCACATAAGGAGAGGAGATGCTTATTGATTTTAGAGAAAGGGAAAAGGAGGGAGAAAAAGAGGGAGAGAAACACCGAAGTGAAAAAGAAACACTGATCAGTTGCCTCTTACACATGCCCTGACTGGGACCAAACCCACAACCCAGGCACGTGCCCTGACCAGGAATAGAACCCGCGACCTTTCCATTTACAGGATGACACTCCAACCGGTTGAGCCACACTGGCCAAGGCCCTCTGCCCATTTTTTACTTTCTATTTTTTTCAGATTTTATTTATTTACTTTTAGAGAGAGTGGAAGGAAGGGAGGAAGACGGAAACATCAGTGTGTGGTTGCTTCCCTCATACCCCCAACCAGGGACCTGGCCTGCCACCCAGGCATGTGCCCCAACTGGGAATCAAACCAGTGAACTTTCAGTTTCCAAGCTGGAGCTCAATCCAATGAGCCACACCAACCAGGACTCTGTCCATTCTTAAATTGGATGGGGTTTTTTTAGTACTGAGTTGCATGAGTTCTTTATAAATTTTGAATATTAATCCTCTTATCTTCCTTTCAGCAGGTTGTGATTTCCTTTGTGGCACAAAAACTTTTTCGTTTCACGTAGTCACATTTATTTGTTCTTTTCTTCCCTTTGCCCCAGGAGACAGATCAGAAAAAAACGTTGCTATAAGAAATGTCCAAGATTTTACTATGTTTCCTTCTAAAAGTTTTATGGTTTCAAGTCTTACATTTAAAGTCTTTGATCTATTTTGAGTTTATTCTTGTATATGGTATAAAAAAGTAGTCTAGTTTCATTTTTGGTATGTATCTGTCCAATTTTCCCAATACCACTTATTGAATAGATTGTCTTTACCACATTGTACGTTTTTGTCTCCTTTGTCAAATATTAACTGACCATATAGGTGTGGGTTTATTTCTGGGCTATTCTGTTCTATTGGTCCATATGCCTGTTTTTATGCCAGTACCATGCTGTTTTGCTTATTATGGCCTTTTAGGATATTTTTATATCAGGTAGCACGACACCTCCAACTTTGTTCTTTTTTCTTAAGGTTGCTGTGGCTATTTGAAGCCTTTTGTGGTTACAATGAAATTTTTGGATTATTTGTTCCATTTCTGTGAAATATGCCATTAGTATTTTGATAGGAATCGTGTTGCATTGCTTTAGGTAGGATGGACATTTTAATGATGTTAATTCTTCCTACTCATGAGCACAGTATATGCTCCCATTTATCTGTACCTTCTTCAATTACTTTCCTCAGTATCTTATAATTTTACCTCCCTGGTTAAATTTTTTCCTGGGTATTTTATCTTTTTGATGCAACTCTAAATGGGATTTTTTTCCCCTTTCTGATAGTTCATTACTGGTGTATAAAATTGTAACTGAGCCCTGGCGAAGTAGCTCACTTGGTTAAGAGTTCCAATGTACCAAGGTTGTGAGTTCAATTACCAGTCAGGGCACATGCAAGAATCGATCAATAAATGCATAATCAAGTGAAATAATGAATTGACATTTCTCTCTCTTGCTCCAAAATAAAAAATTTAAAAATAAAAATGCAAACAATTTCTGAATATTTATTTTGTACACTGCTATTGTAATTAATTCAGTTATCAGTTCTAGTTGTTTTTATCTACTTTTTAATTTTTTTCAAGATTTTATTTTTTTATTTTCAGAGAGGGGAAAGGGAGGGACAAAGAGAGGGAGAGAAACATCAACTGGTCGTCCCCTGCACGACCCCAGCGGTTTGGGTGGGCCTATTATTAGTCGGTTGGGGTGAAGTCTCGGAACCTCCAGCCTGGGGCAAACAGTGTGAGCCAGGAGGACAGCGTCTCAAACATGAACCTGCCTGCAGGCTCTACGGGGAGCGGGCTCAGGAAGAAGGCAATGGCCTCTTCCCGCTGTTCTGCCTGGGAGAAAGCCGTCCCCCAGCTCTCTCTCTGACGCCAGACACCTCGGTTCCTCCCTGTGCGCCTCCGATGCCTTTCAAGCTGCCGCCCCACTGCTGCGACTCAGAAGGGGCAAGTCTGAGAAGGTGAGTCTGCGTGTAGATTCTTTGAGGGGAACTGCTTGGGGCTCCAGAAGTTTCTTCCACCAACTCAATCCCCACTGGTTTTTGCAGTGAGAAGTTATGGGGACTTATTTTCCCACCTCTGGAACTCTGGGCTGGGGGGCCTACTGTGGGGCTGGGACTCCTCACCCCTAAGACAACCCTCCTGAATTTTTATCCACCACACATGGATGTGGGACCAGACTACTCCAAGTCTGCACCCCTCCTATCAGTCTTGATGGATGTGGTTTAATTCTGCAGTTGTCAGACTTCCATTTAACTTGATTTCTCAACAAAATGTTTAAAGAATTTTTTTCAAATGGGTAAGTTTTAGACACACCTCCTAAGAAGCAAGAACTTACACTACTGTGTACCCTAAAACATACTGTGGTTATGTGAAGGTTAAATTATGCTAAGCAAAATAAGTCAGTCAGCCAGAGAAAGACAAATACCATATGATCTCATTTATCTGTGGATTCTAATGAACAATATAAAACCCCAGGTACGAATACATGGAACAGACTGGCAGATCTGAGGGGAGCCGGTCGGGGGAACTGGGAGAGATCAGCCAAAGGACATATATCCAGACATGCATGGACACAGACAACAATGTGGGGAAGGCCAGAGAGGGGGCTGGGTGATGGGGGCGGGGGGGGAGGAAATGGGGAACGTCGCTAATAGTTCCAACAATAAAAAAATTAATGAAAAATACAATGATATGGTAAATAATCACTCAAGTAAAAATAATTTCCTTAGCAGATATTTTTAGCGAGGAAAAAATAACCCAAAGACTTAGAGTCCGGGAGTGGAGGCCTGCTGCCCCTGGTCCCTACCTGACCGGAAGCGCTCGTCCCGTGAGTTGGTGGGCCGCGCCTTCTGCTGCTTAGGCACCGCAGCCGTGGTTTGTGAGGGCCCGGGGGTCCTAGGCTCTGTTTGGAGGGATGGGTCCACTCCTGAAACACAATTTTATAGGTATGTCTTGTGTCAACCACTTACTTTTCCAACTGTGGAAAAACCCATTTTAAACAGCACGTTCTGTATTAAAATCAATGACCTGAGCACACGCGCCCTGTGCTGGTGCTCTCACCCGAACACCTGAGTCTGGAGGTCGAGGGGGGGCTGTCGATGTCACTTCCAGCTCCCTCCCTACAGCACCCCTGGCCCAACCCTGCGCCTGCCATCTACTGTTCGCAAGAAGGGCGAGCCTCACGGCCCATCCTGAGCCCTGTACGGGCCACACACACAGTCGCTCACGCAGACTCTCCAGAGCAGGTCTTCTGAAAGCATTTCTGCACCACAAACATCTCCTGTCTGAAAGGACCCGAGTCACTTTTTCTGGCACTGCCCATGGCATCGGCATACTCAATGAGAAGCAGCCCTCTAAGCAATCACAAGGGTGTCACCAGTCACTCTTAGACACAAGCAGAAAAGAAGTGGACTGGTAGAGACAGAGCAAAGCACCAGTGATGAGGACTTCAGCAGACTTCCATGCTCAGACTCAGGCCCGGCTGCCTTGACCTGCGACAACTGCTCACTGTCTCCACACCCAACACACTGATGCCTGTCCACACTCGTGGCCAAGCCCCTAGCGCTCACGTTCTCCACCCTGACCACACAGGCCCTCAGGATACAGTGTGGTAAGAAATGGGGCCATGAAATGAAGCCTCGTGTTGTCTGAGTCCCCATTTGCTGACATTTGGGAACAGCATAAGCAAAGCCTTCAGTTGTGCGTCATCAAAATAACTGGCTTAATTTAGACTTTGGTTCAAAACGTCTCATAAAAATTGCCAGCAGGACTCCAGCCCCACTGGCCCCTCCAGCCTTCATCATTACTAGAAACAAGGCGGTCTATCCCTGCCTTGGACCCTGGTAGGCAGTGACTGCCCAATGGATGCGGCATGGCAGAAGTGATGCTATATGACTCCCGAGGCCAGCCACAAAAGGCGACACAGCTCCCACGTATGTCAGCATGTCCTCTCAGTGACAGCACACTGAAAGGGCACGTGAGAGGACAGAGGGGGACAGAAGCCGTGCAGAAGCCCCGTGCTTGGCTGTCTGAGTCTCCCAGCACCAAGCCCGCAGCTGTGGCTGAGAAACCCCCAGGACATGGCAGCAGAACTACAGGTCTGTGAGCAGCAGGAGGCTGGCACTGCTGTTTCTAGTCCTGCATTTTAGAGGGGTCAGTTATGAGCGCTAGAGAATGAGAACCCCTCGGAAAACCAATGTTCAGCTCTTCGGAACTTGACCATCCATGCGCGCGTGCACACACACACACACACACACGCACGCACGCATCCACAGCCATAATGATCAGTACTGCCACTGGCTTTGTGTGCTGTGACCAAGTGAAACTGCCTTACATTCACAGTGGAGTTGAGAATGCACGGAATGTTATGTGCCATGGACTACAGATAGGTGTGCTGCACACTGATGCACATACCCACGGACATCCCTATGCTTACACTCCAAAACATGGGCACGCTGATTTTTTGAGATAGATGCATTTATTCAACAAAGACACCAAAACCCATTGTGAAATTACTGGATAAATGAGTAGGTATATTTTTAACTTTAACACATATCAAGGGGTAACTTTCCAAAAAGATTACAGCAATTCGCACTCACAAGCAATGTATGAAAGTACATCTCCCCACATCTTTTCAGCACTGGATGTTATAAAGTTTTAGAATTTTGCCAAGCTGACAGGAGAAAAATGGTTCACTTTAATCTGAGTTTCCCTAACTACTGTTGGGGTTGAACATAATGTTTATGGCCCGTCCATATTTCCTCTTCTCTGAATTTATATTCATTTTACCAAGCTAATAAGCCCCCAGAAAAAAATGCAGGAAGCCCTTGTCTGCTGGGGACACTACCCTGCACTGAGCACACCTCCCTAATCTATAGTCCGGCTGGTGCCTCCTTGACCTACAGCCCGGCAGCTCAGTCATTCTGAAACGTGTTCATTTCCAGGGAACAAATCATACCAGTTTTTTCTTTCCTTCCTAATTTCTAGGTCTCCTATCTTGTAACCTCCACTCCAGAGTTACTCAAAGGTACTCCTGAATTTCATAGTATCTCTTAATTACAAACCTTTTTAGAGCTGTGATCCTTATATAGAGCTTCTGTTCACTAACAGTGGAGAGGAAGAGGACCCCAGCTCTGTCTCCGCCCTTTGAATGCTCCTGAATCACTGCCAGACCCCGTTCTCTTCCACTCATTTTCCTCTACTCCCTACGCAAGACCCCCGTTGTGACCAACGACCAAGCGTACACAGTCAGGCTGAGCATCCTGAGGGCCAGCTCTTTCTCACTAGTATTCTTTTTCAAAAATGGATTAGCTACTCTCAGAACTTGCCTCCTTCGAGTGGGTTATTTTTTTTCCAATCCCAGTTTGGGAGTGGCATGCCGAATCAGCCACTGGTATTCAGACTAAACTATATTATGTTCACACTTTAATTTTGAAACTGTTATCCCCCTCCCGCTCCCCTCTGGTTACTATCAGTTTGTTCTTTATTTCCATGTTTCTGGTACTATTTTGCTCATTTGTTTGTTATGTTGATTAGTTTACACTTACAGGTGAGATCATATGGTATTTATCTTTCACTGCCTGCCTTACTTCACTTAGCATAACATTCTCCAGTTCCATTCATGCTGTTGTGAAGGGTAGGAGCTCCTTCTTTCTTTCTGCTGCATAGAATTCTATTGTGTAAATGTAGCACAGTTTTTTAATCCACTCATTTAATGATGGGCAGTTAGGCTGTTTCTAAGCACCTGGCTATTGTAAATTGTGCTGCTATGAACACTGGGTGAATAGGTCCTTTTGAATTGGTGTTTCAGGGTTCTTAGGGTACAATCCCATCAACCCAGCAGCAGAATCACTGGATCAAAAGGCAGTTACATTTTTTTGTTTTTTGAGAAAATTCCATACTGTTTCCCACAGTGGCTGCACCAGTCTGCATTCCCAACAGTGGACTAGGGTTCCCTTTTCTCCACAACCTTGCCAGCACTTGTTATTTGTTGATTTGGTTATGATGGCCATTCTGACAGGTGTGAGGTGGTATCTCACTGTGGTTTTAATGTGCATCTCTCTGATGGCTAGTGATGCTGAGCATCCTTTCGTAAGTCTTTGGGCGCTCTCCTCCTTGGAAAAGTATCTGTTCAGGTCCTGTGTCCATTTTTAATTGGACTGTTTGCTTTCTTGGTGTGGAGTCATGTGAGTTCTTTATATACAATGTTTTTCCATTTAGAAATTTGGTGATTCTTCTACTTTAGGGTGTTGGCTATTTCTTTCAAATAGATTTTATGACCCTAATAAGGTTCTGTGGCTTTCTTGCTAAATATATTAATAAGCAACTGACAGTTTACCGCCCCTATAAATATTTTTTCATTAACAGAAATTCTGCCAGAGAAAAGCTATAGATTCTTGCATATTTGTCTTATATCAAACCCAAACTCTACTGGTTAGTAAGCAGTCACCTGGGTTTTCGAGGTATAAAACAACGCCACCTGTAACTACAGATGGCCGTCCTGCATCGTTTCCCATCACATCACACTGACAGTGGCCACCGGACGAAGTGGCCTAAGAGCAGGCACAGCCAGCACTCCTGTCCCACCCTGCACAGGACAGAAATGCTGCAGCGTATGATCGCACAATGTGCCGCTGGCTGTCGATGTTTGCAAACGGGCTGTCAGATGTTTCATCATTTCCATAAATTCCAGTTTTACTCAGAGGCTGATGTTGCTTTATTTTGGAGGAATGAATGTCAGTGTATAAAGAGACTCTTCACTATTGTTTCTGTTGTCGACTGTAAAATATCTCACATTGATCTAAGCAGCATAAAGCATGTTTTCAGTTTAGGAACTATTAGTAACAACGATACAGGTTAAGAAATAAACACTCAAGTGCCGCAGAAGCCCCCGAAGTCCCTCAGTCTCACTCCACGATGCAACGCTGTGCTGACTTCAGTGAAAACCACTCCCCTGGTTTTCTTTGCCACCTACATACATAAGGTTCCTAAACAGCAGTTTTGCTATTTAGTAACTTAAAATTAAAATAAAAATTTTAATTTTAATGATGTCTGATTTACTAAGCCTTTCCTTTAAAGTTACTTAAAGGAAAGTAACCCTTTCCTTTCCTTTACTAACCTTTCCTATCTCAAGATGGTGACAATTTCCTGTATGACCTTCTAAAGGTGCTACAGGATTTGCCTTTCACTTAAACTACCTCTACTCCTTTGCAATTATTTCTTTCACTACCCATATGTTTATGGGCTTCATCCTCGCTGATACATGCAGGTGTTTGGCTTTCCCCTATATGAGCTCTGTCGGCTGGGGTTCTAGTTACTGACAGCTGAAGGGTACAATACACACTCCTGCGTGTGAGCAAACACAAGTGCAAACATTCAAAGTTTCTCAAGGGCACCCATGTATCTGAAGAACTGCTAGTCGCCTCTGACCACTTCAACTTCATCAGGTAACACTGACTGTCCATACCCTACCGTCTAAATCCTCCCCACCAACCGGAGGCAGAGGAGGCTTTAATCAGCACTTCTCTGATGACTGCTGAGGTTTAGCCCCTTTTGTTTGCTTGTTTACAAGGGTTTCCTCTTATGAAATGCTTACTCAAGTCTTTAGCTCATTTTTCTTCTGGGCTTTTTCTGTTTTAATCATGTTGGAAAACTTTCTGGCTATCTGAGTTTAAATTAATTAAAATTAAATAAAAAATTTGGTCTTTCACTACTTGCCATTATTTCAAGTGCTCAAAGCTCTATGTAGCTAGTATGCAGTTCACTGAACACTACAACCTCAGAGCACTTTCATTATCCCAGAAAGTTCTACTGAATGGTGATGCATTTAGTTATTTTTGTCACAGTTCTCTCCTCCCACTCAGGAGCTTGTCCATATTCACTTCCTGGTGCCTTCTGATAAAATAAAAATTTTAATTTTAATGATGTCTGATTTACTAAGCCTTTCCTTTAAAGTTACTTAAAGGAAAGTAACCCTTTCCTTTCCTTTACTAACCTTTCCTATCTCAAGATGGTGACAATTTCCTGTATGACCTTCTAAAGGTGCTATAGGATTTGCCTTTCACATTTAGACCAATGTCACCTGTCTTGCAAGCTAGCAAGGAACTGGGCCAGCACCACAAGCCGCAGTGCTGTCTCCACCACAAGCCAAGTCTCCTCCAGACGTGCACCTGGACTTGGGCCCACGCTCTGCTCTCTCGGCCAGTGGTCCGCCCTTGTGCCAAGCCATGCTGCCTTACTGATGACAGCGTGACACTCGTTCTTCATGCCCTGATATGGCAAAATTTCCCATCTTGTTCTTTTTTTCTGAGCATATTTTGAATCCCTTGGACCTTTAAACTTATACATAAAATTTATAATTAGCTTGTTAAACTACACATACACACACAAAACCTGTTGAAATGACGAGTGTGCTGCCGCTACAGATCGGTCTCAGGTGGGAAGAACTGAATCTTTAAATATTTGTTTAAATATGTAAGTAAGAAATTTCTAAGTAAGAAAATGTTCCCTACGCTAATCATAAAAATAATCATGTTCAACAGTCAATTAAAATACAATAAATTCTACTTGAGAATGAGATCTATACCAAACCAGAGCTGTAAATGATCATCTACGCCTTTGGATTTTTTTATTTAATATTGGGGACATTATTTGCCTAGTCCTTCTTAATAGGAAACACAGGAAAAAGAGGAAACGTACCAATTACAGGCCCTAAAATCAATATTTCAGTCAAGTTCTATAAGCTAACAGAAGTGCTACAGAGCATCCGAGAGTGCCGCCCTCACCTTGAAGAAGTGGTATGTAGCGCGCAAGCAGCTTCGCCCTTTTCTTCTCGTATCCTTTTTGAGTGATGTCCCCTAAAACAACAATGGTAGAAGAGAATTATGTTTCTCCTAAAGTTACTAAAACTTTTAATTAAAGATTAATTCATAATGAAAGAACTGGGAACACAAATGTCCTTCAACTAGTGACTGGTAAACAATGATTCATACAATGAAATACTACTCAGCAGTAAAAAGGAACAAATTACCGATATATAGAACAATTTAGATAGCTCGTATACACATACTGCTAAGTGAAAGAATTCTTTACTTACATGACATTCTGGAAAAGATAAAACTGTAAGAAGACAGAGAACAGACAGTGCTTGCCAGGGATGGGCGTGAGGGGAGGGCTGACTATGAAGGGGGATTAGGGAATTGGGGGGACAATGCCGCTGTTCTGTTTTGATTATGACCTTGTTTGTCAACGACTTACAGAACTGCCCACAAGAGAGGGTGAGTTTACTGTATGTAAATAATAAGTCAACATTCCCCAGCAGATGGTCAGAAATGCAGAGGCTATGCCGCAGACTGACATTTACCTGCATTTTACCAACACCGGCACCCCCCTCCCCCCCTCCACTGCCCCCTCCCCCTGTGATTCCTGCACCGGTTCAAGCTGTGCAGGCACTTGTGTAAAGGACTCAGGAAATAAAGCCTTCCCAACCACAGGGTGGTTCCTGGTGAGGACTCAGGGGAGAAAACTGCTGTTCTGATAATGTTATAAAGAAGAACAGCCGAAAAATGAATTACCATCTAGGAACAAGAGAGGAAACACACTTTTCAATCTAAGAATACCACCACATGGTTTGCCAGACAGAACTGGGTGTTCGAAGCGGATCTGTCATGTTCGGGAGACTTTATTTAGACCAGAAATATGCATTACAATTGCCACTAGGAGCTTGTTCTTGGGGCGAACTGTGTTGAAAAGAAAGCTTTTATGTTCTGCAAGCCTCCTCTGGCCCGTCCTCGCCCCCTCACGCCCCTCCCTTCACTCCAAACAAGCAAAGCTGCCAGGCTGCTATCACCTGTTGAGTGCTTAAGTCCTCAACTTTCATTTTCAGTCCTCACCTGAGGATGTTTACTGATTTTTTTAGAGAGAGGGGGAGAGAGAAACGAGGACAAGTTGCCTCCCATAAAAGCCCCTCTGGGGACCAAACCAGCAACCCAGGCACGTGTCTGACACAGCATCGGACCCGCGACCTTTTGGTGAATGGGACGACACTCCGACCAACGGAGTCTCCCAGCCAGGTGCAAACTCTTGACTACAGGATCTGTTGTATCAAAAGACAGACACCTTTAAACATCTGCCAATCCATTAAGCCTCGGTGAAAGCTTCCGGGCAGACACGAATCCACAGCCCTACAGGAAGATGAGCCCAAGGGCAGGGAAGCGCCAGGTCCTGCCCCCTCGCAGGCAGTTCCTCTGGGATGGGCCAGCTGGGCCCCACCGACCTCGCACAGACCCTCTGCTTCGACAACAGCTCATGTGGTCAGCCCTCCCCAGACAGTCCCTCTAGTTATCTCACCTATCCTTCCCTTTATTTATCCTTCTGCTCCCACTATTCTATCCCTGCCACAGGAAACCATTCTATCGCAGTTAGTGTCTTTTAATTCAAGTATGTTCAGCAGAATATACACTGCCTTGTGTCCATGTACTTTTACCCAAATGGCATTACATTACAAATCTCACCCTACTGCCTGGAGCATTTTTCTCACGCACTCCACTTTAACACCAACCCACGCACACTTCCACTGCTGACCGCAGTGGCCCTTGGACTGCATCGTCCTGTCCTGCCCACTCGTTGATACTAACAGACCCTGATAGGATCTAGAATATAACTGTGTAACTTCACTTATGTTTCAGCTTCTGAACAAGTTTAAAGCACAAGTATTTTTTTAAAGCAGTCTACTAAAATATTGCTTCCTCTGGAATATATAAAAGTATGTATGTAATTAAGGTAATTTTACATGAACACTAAATATTGCTATACAAACGAAAACAGATAAATCACTGTTTAAAGTCAGAGCATTTGCTTTTCTAGGATATTTAAAAATTAGGTATTCACTTTCTAGAAATAGTTTATGTTCCCATTTCAAATGAATGTTTAAATGATGCATGCACCCAAAGAGCACTCGGAAAGGAAATGTGCCGCACCTCCCTGGGGGATGATCGTGATACCCCAAATCCGGCTCATTTTTTTTTTACTGAACATAACCAGTCACACATTTTCATGTATCCAACTTAGATACTCATTCAACACACCACTGAATGCACAGCTTCCACCCACACAGAGAGCAAAGCAGCATTCCAAAACAGAATCCAGACATGAGACGACAGTCAAGGCTGTAGCACGACATTTCAGTGAGCGGTGGACCGAACACAGGACAGCAGTAAGATCACCATGGAGCTCGAAGAGTCCCATCGCCAAGTGACATCACAATATCACAGGGCAACGCTTCCATGTTTGTGATGATGCTGGTGTAAATAAATCGGCACTGCCGGTCTTACAAAAGTACAGCACATACAATTATGTACAGTAGATAATACTTGACGGTCAGTAACGATGTCACTGGTTTATGTGTTTACTATACTATACACTTTATCACTAAGAGGGCACTTTCTCTACTGACAAAGAACAAATCTGCTGTGAACAGCAGCTGTGTCGCAGCGACAGCAGCCTCATACGTCTTGTGTCTACCACCTCGCAACCGCACCAGGTTCTCTTGTGTTTAACCGCATGCTTTGTGTGAGTTCACCGGGCTGTCCGGGCTGTCCAGGCGTGCGCAGTGACGGAGCAGCACAGACTCAGTGTGGCGGGGCAAGGGCCCTCTGTAATGACTGCACAAGGACAAGAAGTGCCCAACGACAAGCTGCTCAGAATGGGTCCCCACCACTAAGCAGCACGTGACTGTAATGAGCTAACAGAAAAGGGACTTAAATCCGGTTTTCTGACCCCAAGTTCAGGAGAGCCAAGCTCCCCGATATACTGCATGGAACTGGGGTAACCCTGACACAAACAGGGAATCTCAGACAAAGTGGAGCTCCCCCCTTGACTGAGCACCCAGGAACCCGGGGGACTTTGGAAAAATGCATCCCAGTTTGTTAACCAAAACTGGCTTCTCTGGTGGTCGGAAAGACAGCAGCTGTTCTTACCAGCCCTCTAGGTCAGTGATTTCACTGGTGTGCCACCAGAAGGAGGTCGGGGCCCGGACCTCTTCTTCCCTAGGCTGTCAAATTTAAAAAATGACAAGAACCAAAACCACAATAGTGGTCTGGTGTGAATGAATCAAAATTATACCTAATTTCTGCCAGATTGGCAAAAATTTATTTTTGTGTGTGCCCCAGGATTTCAGAAATTAGTTTACGTGGCCACGAGATGAAAAGGGCTCAAAATCACTGCTCCAGGTAGGGGCACTGTGTGCGGTGACTGCCACAAATCGAAGTCACTCAGGATCACAGATGCAGAATCCCAAACACAGCCAGCCCCCCCCCCCATGTCCGTGGACTCCACACCACAGATTCAACAGCAGCTGGCAGAAAACACTCAGAGAGAAAGTTACGTGGGTGCTCTGTGCACTGCATAGTTAGGTCCACAACAGGTGCTGCAGTACTGGACATGTACACTTTTTTACCTCGATACAGTGTAACAGGTATTTACATGGCTCTGCGCCGTATTAGGCATTGTAAGCAATCCAGAGATGATTGCAAGTATATGGCAGGATGTGCACAGGTTATATGCAAATCTAGCACCATTTTATACAACGGACTTGAGCAACTGGGGATTTCCAGCATCCTCAAGGATACCCCACAGATACCAAGGGGCAACCGTAATACTGCCAAGTGCCTAACTTAGCAGCATATTATAGTTTCTAAAACCTACTCTTGAAAGCACTGAACAACTCAAGTTCACAGAAGCAAGGACAGGGAGTGAATACTATATGTGACAGCAAACAGGGGAGACAACTTTTGTCCATAAAAGGAAGGAAAAAGGGAAGGAAGGAATAAAGATGCTGCCATAGCTGATTAATACAGAATTCTGTTGGCCCTAAAAAATACCATGGTATCTGAGGAGTGGGAATGTGGGTATCACATGGATTCATATTCTATTGAGTAAAAACAGATTGAAAAACAATATACACACCAAATAATCTAACTGGTGAAAATAAATAAAACTACATTTACATGCATGTAGGTATGTATATCTGTGTATGCAAAAAATATTCTGGAAGGATGCCCAACAAACCACTAACAGTGGTTACCCTAGAGAGTGATTTATCTGGTTTTGGGTGGGTGTGAAATAGATTTCAGTTTTTACTTCAAACAATTCTGAACTCTTTAAAATTTTTAGCACAATAATTATGTAATTCTTCGTAATTAATAAAAATGGAGGACATACAGAATGCCCAGAGATATATGAAAGGATGCTCAGAATCACTAGCCATCAGAGACATTCAAATTAAAACCACAGTGAGCTACACCTCACACCGGTCAGAATGGCCATCATAACCAAATCAGCCATCAACAAGTGCTGGAGAGGATGTAGAGAAAAGGGAACCCTGGTGCACTGCTGGTAGGAATGCAGACTAGTGTAGCCACTGTGGAAAACAGTACGGAGTTAACCTCAGAAAACCAAAAATGGATCTGCCTTTTGACCCAGCGATTCCACTGCTGGGATTATACCCTAAGAATCCTGAAACACCAACTCAACAGAACCTATTCACCCCAATGTTCACAGAAGCACAATTTACAATAGCCAAGTGCTGGAAGCAACCTAAGTGCCCATCAGTGAATGAGTGGATGAAAAACTGTGGTACATTTACACAATGGAATACTTTGCAGCAGAGAGAAAGAAGGAACTGTTACCCTTTGCAACAACATGGATAGAACTGGAGAGCATTATGCTAAGTGATATAAGCCAGGCAGTGAAAGACAAATACCATGTGATCTCACCTATAAGTGGAACCTAATCAACAAAACAAACAAGCAAGCAGAATATAATCAGAGACATTGAAATTAAGGACAAACTGACAATA